TATATTATTATGATTCTATTCATTATTATTGTAAAAAATCATATTATCATTATATTATTTATTATTATTGTAATGAAGTGTTTTATTATTATCATATTATTATTGCTGTATTACCCTTGCTAATTAACATATAGTTTTATTGATCCTCAATCATGACTTTTCAGCACTAAGTGTGAGAGACTAACTTTAACAATAACAATTATATGCTCAAAACTTTATTCCAATCTTGTATTTATGTATTTATTTAACCCTGTATACTATACATACCCTGTATAGTAAATTAAATTCGCTCATACTATACTTAATACTCATACTATACATATAGGGTTCGTACCAGTTTTTAGAAAAAAATTCCATAACTTTTCCATGACTCATGACCATCAATATTATTTTCCAAGACTCGTATACGAACTGTTTAGCATGACTGAAAGACTAACCGTGCAAATTCTATCATCTACTAAAGTTGATAAATAGCAAATGTATAAATGCATATCTATATATGCATATATATAGTCACGATAAGCTTATATTCATAACAACAAGTTATGAAATTTACACTTTAAAGGCATGGTGATGTACCACAAGTCATGAAATTTACACTTTAAAGGCATGGTGATGTAGAAATTGCACGTTGAACATGGAACGCTGCCACTGCAGGCCAGAAAGTTGTCCAATGCAACTGAGCTCGCTGACCGAACTCACGTGATTGGTTCTCCAATTATATACGTGGCCGAAGGTTACAAGATTGGAGAACCAATCAGAACGCAGGAAACGAGAGACTGCACAAACAGTAAACACATGCAGCACAAAAAACACTTATTTTTTTCTTATTTTATTTGCAAATTCCATGATTTTCCATGACCTGAAATGAAATTCAATGACTTTCCAGGTTTTCCATGACCGGTACGAACCCTTTACATAATACGAAATTATTAATATCACCATTGATAATTGAATAATAATATAATTCTATACAATTATATTACTATGTTTGTGTATCTTATTAAATTTTTCATCAATTGTATTGATGATTCATTCTGAACAGTGACAAGGTCCCCCACCACCCCAAACTCCCCTCCACCCTCTTATACTTATGTCCCCCACCCTCTAAGTTAGGGGGCGGCCCCCCCTTTATAGCCCCCACCCTNTGATGTTGCTGAGGTCTAGCCAGGACAGGTCAGCCACCTTGCCATGACCCACCTTGAAGTTGATGTTGCTGAGGTCTAGCCAGGACAGGTCAGCCACCTTGCCATGACCCACCTTGAAGTTGATGTTGCTGAGGTCTAGCCAGGACAGGTCAGCCACCTTGCCATGACCCACCTTGAAGTTGATGTTGCTGAGGTCTAGCCAGGACAGGTCAGCCACCTTGCCATGACCCACCTTGAAGTTGATGTTGCTGAGGTCTAGCCAGGACAGGTCAGCCACCTTGCCATGACCCACCTTGAAGTTGATGTTGCTGAGGTCTAGCCAGGACAGGTCAGCCACCTTGCCATGACCCACCTTGAAGTTGATGTTGCTGAGGTCTAGCCAGGACAGGTCAGCCACCTTGCCATGACCCACCTTGAAGTTGATGTTGCTGAGGTCTAGCCAGGACAGGTCAGCCACCTTGCCATGACCCACCTTGAAGTTGATGTTGCTGAGGTCTAGCCAGGACAGGTCAGCCACCTTGCCATGACCCACCTTGAAGTGACCCACCTTGCCATGACCCACCTTGAAGTTGATGTTGCTGAGGTCTAGCCAGGACAGGTCAGCCACCTTGCCATGACCCACCTTGAAGTTGATGTTGCTGAGGTCTAGCCAGGACAGGTCAGCCACCTTGCCATGACCCACCTTGCCATGACCCACCTTGCAGTGACCCACCTTGCAGTGACCCACCTTGCCGTGACCCACCTTGCAGTGACCCACCTTGCAGTGACCCACCTTGCAGTGACCCACCTTGCCGTGACCCACCTTGCCGTGACCCACCTTGCAGTGACCCACCTTGCCATGACCCACCTTGCAGTGACCCACCCTGTCATGACCCACCTTGCCATGACCCACCTTGAAGTTGATGTTGCTCAGGTCTAGCCAGGACAGGTCAGCCACCTTGCCATGACCCACCCTGCCATGACCCACCTTGCCATGACCCACCCTGCAGTGACCCACCTTGCCATGACCCACCTTGAAGTTGATGTTGCTGAGGTCTAGCCAGGACAGGTCAGCCACCTTGCCATGACCCACCTTGAAGTTGATGTTGCTGAGGTCTAGCCAGGACAGGTCAGCGTGGCTGAGGTTGACGGCCTGGAACCTGAGGGGCGCTGACGGGGGCGTCGTCAGCAGCGCTGCCACCACGTCCTGCCGACTCAGCGCTGACGAATAATATATAGTTTATTAATAATTATATAGGTCAGGCATAATTATTATATAGATGAGGCTAAAGCAACAGGCTATTACATAGATGAAGCTATTATATAAAGGAGACTATTATATAGATGACGCTTAAACAACAATGTATCACTCTAAAGGCCAGTTTTCTTCAAAAATTTATTCACATTATTAAAAATTCTTTTATAAATATTTAAATTTATTCAAGTTTTCTTTACATTTATTCTATTTTAACTCACAAGTATCACATTTTTGTTTACATTTATTCTTTTGTTTACATTTATTCTTTTGTTGACATCTATTCTTTTGTTTACATTTATTCTTTTGTTTACATCTATTCTTTTGTTTACATCTATTCTTTTGTTGACATTTATTCTTTTGTTGACATTTATTCTTTTGTTTACATTTATTCTTTTGTTTACATTTACTCTTTTGTTTACATTTACTCTTTTGTTTACATTTATTCTCTTGTTTACATTTATTCTATTCTTATTCATAAGAGTTACATTTTTGTTGACATTTGTTGACATTTAATCTATTCTCACTAACAAGTATCACATTTTGTCAACATTTGTTCACATTTATTCTATTCTTCTTCACAAGTATCACATTTTTCTTGATATTTATTCTTTTGTTTACATTTATTCTATTCTTATTAATAAGAGTTGAATTTTTATTCACATTTCACGCACGTTTACTGGACGGGTCCTGCCGCATGTCAGCCACCAGGCGCTCGAGGTGCGGGATGACGCCCTCCAGCCCATAGAACCTCGCCTCCAGCAGCACCCCTGCCGGGGGGTTAAGTGGGTCATACCTAGCCTATTGGGTGAGTAGGTGGGTCATACTCTACCTATTGGGTGAGTAGGTGGTCATACCTAGCCTATTGTGTCATACCTAGCCTATTGGGTGAGTAGGTGGGTCATACTCTACCTATTGGGTGAGTAGGTGGTCATACCTAGCCTATTGTGTCATACCTAGCCTATTGGGTGAGTAGGTGGGTCATACTCTACCTATTGGGTGAGTAGGTGGTCATACCTAGCCTATTGTGTCATACCTAGCCTATTGGGTGAGTAGGTGGGTCATACTCTACCTATTGGGTGAGTAGGTGGGTNTCTGATAAGACTAATGACCAAGTCTCATTCAGATAAGACTAATGACTATAAATGACTATAAGTCTAGTTCAGAAATGTGAATGTGTTTCCAATAATGTTGAGTCCATGGCAGTAACAACTTATAAAATAATGATAAATTAATGAAAAATACAACAGAATTCATATTGTTGATCATAATTATTTTTATAGACTATAGACACTCCCCTACAACATCACTTGGATGATATTTCCCTTCTCAACTACAATATTTTTATAATGATATTTCCCTTCTTACTTATAATATTTGCACAATAACTTTTTAATAAAGTAACAACTCAACAGTAACTTTTTTTTGCGATTGTCAAATTTGTATATTTTTTCTTAGGACAGCTGTGAATATGGTATATTTGAACTTTTTTGTTAACATAAGAGTGTGAACTTTTAATTTTTTGATGCTAGTAAAAGTTTTTTAGGCAGCGTGTATGACCGATTTAAAGGTCGTGACCGTAGGTCACCACGCACCCCAATTCCAATTCCAACAAACTATCACCTTCAGGGTTGACGCCCGAGTCGAGCAGCAGCACCCCCGTGCGGAGGTAGTTCAGGAGGGGGGCAAAGTACCGGGGGGACCGGTCGATGATGTACCTCCCCTGGGGGTCCAGACTGGCGGGGGACAGGTGGGGGTGATGGCCCCCAAACATCCTTGTTACAAAATAAATGTGCTAAAATTAATTTATTAAAAAAAACTTTGAAGTCATAAAAATTTTTGGCTTATCTAGATCTAGAAGTTAGAAAATTTTCAACATAGCTATTGCCTGGGTATTTGAATTAAAAAGTATTTAAATTTAAGAAATTCTAGGGCATCTTTTAGGTAATTCTAGAGTAGAAAGCCTCATCAAAAATTTTGTGGCCTAGAAAATAATTTAATCTGATAATCCAAAGCATTTAAAGTATTGAAAATGTATAAAAAAAATATAAGTAAAACAAAATAAATAACCCAACTTACTTGGCCAGCATGGAGTCAGGTTCTTCAAGTATAAGAGTGGCCCGAGACGTTACAAAAACTTCACCACCGACGTTAAGCTGGATCCAGTCGTCCAGCTTTGACTGTGTCAGCCCCATAAGCTGGCTGTACCTGCGGGTGTCCAGGTCATAACTACCACGACCCGGTGGCTCGGATGCGGTGCTGCCGGATGCCTCATCCACTGAAGAATCCACCAACTTGCTGATTGCTTGAAGAGCTGGAAGTGCTGAGATGAGGGATTTGTCATGCTTCAGTTGAGATGAGAGATGCATTGAGTTGAAGTTATCTTTTAAAGTTTCAACTTCATTGACTTCATTTAAATCCAGGTTTTTTACATGGCCAGAAGATGATGATGTTGGGGGACCAGATTCTGCAGTCTTGTAGCTCAGTGAAACAGAGGAAGAGTGAGAGGCGGAACTGAAACCCTGTGATGCAGTGGACATGATGGATGTAGTGAATACATTTGACGGCTTGCATAGATTTTCAGAGCTGTCTTGAACCTTTGATTTGTTACCAGAGTTATAAAATGAATGAGGAGTTGAATAGCTATCACTTGAAGCCAGCTGCAACCCTGCGACATCTCTAGCGGCTTGAGTGGAATTGTCAATATCAAATGAACTTGGTTTAGTGACAAAAATGTTACTCAAGGTATTATGCAGGGGAGGAGGCAAATTAGTTCCGGTTGTAGGTTTGGAATTAAATACAGAGTCGTCACTAGACCTGCTCATTTCAGATCCAGACCGACCATTGTTCTCAATAATATCATCAAGTACAGCACGTGGCCTGGAAAAAAGTTCCTGAGGATTTCTTGACTCCAAAGACGATGCACCAACTCGGTGGCTCAGGATAGGAGACTGCGGCATGTGGCACTGAAGATGTGGCAACAAGGAAGACTGCTTTGGTTGTGAAGAATTGTTCTCCAAACTTTTGGCCACCTCTGCATTCACCTTTGGATAATCCTCAATAATATCAGTTGGCTTTGAGAACTTAGACCTCTGAGATTCCATGACAGAATTATTATTTTCTGGGATACTGAAGTCATCTTTCAACTTCATTCCCAATTCAGGGCTTTTACCTAACTTACCATCAGTGCTTATGCCACTGTTACTACCATTTTCACTGCATACAAATGACAAGTCAGTGAAAGTTGATGTATCAGACAAAAGTTGAAACTTTATCAACTTTTTAGCCATGCTGCAGAGTTCTTCATGTGTGTCATTGCTGGCACTCAACATCAGCAGGTCGGTCTGTGTTTGCGCATCGCAAGAAGGTTTACCAACACATACGAATGAATATTTTGATGCATTATTATATAATGAAGTGTTTCTTATAGCACTTACATTTCCTTCACATGCACACACTTGATTCAAGCTTGAAACTTTTCTACTGCATGTGTAATCTTGCATAGAAGCACTAGCATAAGAGGAAGACTTGTTTATACCCAAGGACAGTGAACCAACATCTGTCCCATTTATGGTTTGATATGCATGATCTTTCTTAGAATGGCAGACTGAACAGTTTTGGCAATACTGACTATTGTTACCAAGTAGTCCTGTAGGATACGAGTGCCTTTTCACACCACACGAGTTTGCTAAAGTTCCATCTTTCCTCCTTAGGACAGATTTTGTGCTATTAATATTGCTCTTGTATATGTCACTAAGGATGTCATTTTCAACATTTTCTTGATTAACATTCAAGTTGCTTTTTTCACCCAGAATCAGAGAGAGACTGCTAGCGTTCCCATTGCTAGCACAAGGCTGATTGAACCATTTATTTTTGCCAGTATTTTCATTACTGATGTCAATGTCACTAGGTTTGCTTACATCACATCCATGATATGAGAGTTTGTTGACGTAAACATGAGCAGGCTGGCAGACAACCGGCTGCACTACATCCTCCAGGGGCTGGATTGCCGGCTTGCCTTGCGAGTGTAAACAACACTGATGGTTGAGCACGACTGGTATATGTAGCAGACTCTGGCATGGGTTCAGCAGAGTGCAGTTAGTTCCGCTAGTTGTGTACAGTGTGTACACATTCTGTGAGGATGATGAAACTGATATGCTATTAGATGAGGTAGGCTGATCCGGCATGGTGGACTTGTCATTAGCCATCACAAATACAAATTTCAAATTGCTAGTACACTGTTCAGTCTTACGTGTCAAGTGTGACAGTAAATTTACAGTTTTACTGTTTAATTTTGTTCTACTGGAATAATTTCCTTTCAGAGAAAACAAATTTTAGCTTGTTACTTATCGGAAGAATTTGCCATATAATTCTGTCAATTTCTAAATATAAAACTATTTAGCACAAATCCCTGAAAATTAGAGATTGATTGTAGATTGCATGAATAAAAATGTTGGCTACTAGAAAAATTCCTTAATGAAGTGAAGTATTGAAATTTTTCATTATTGTATGAATTACATCTTCCCAAAAATATATCAGACTTTTGGTTAATTCTAGGAATGATTCTTTAGCATGCATCAAGAAAATTCTATTTTTGGCAAATTAGCCAAAATCTGATGAATTAGGCTATTTATAAAATTCAAATAGCAATGAGACACAGAAATCAGAATTGGCAACATAGTTAAAAATTTTCATTGTTCAAGAATCAAGATGTACCTACTATCATAAAAACAATTTTTTGAAAAATATTTCTTCAAAGTCGAAGAGCATGTTAAGCCTTTATATACACATTTTGGATTCCATACATTATCAAATTAATAGGTAGCTAATAAGCATCCAATTTTCATAACAGTTTGGTGCCAGAAAATTCTTCAAATGGTCACATCAAATGATCAAATGAGTGAATGACATTACAATATCCCACCAGGCTAGTCTGGAAAAGTCCTATTTTTGTCTGAAATATCGCGGCTCTAATATAATGCCAACTTTTCCAAAAGCTGAGGTGGCCAGTGCCTTGCTGAGAGCAAGGTCATTAGAGAGGAACCTACTTAAATCAACTTGACCAGATGCAGATTGACAGTCTCCACTATCCAGGAGTGAAATTGGCTCAATCAAAATGACACAGCTTTGCTGACTTGTTAGGTTTTCTACATTGTTTCTTTGTCTGGCTGTAATTACAGTGTCAGAGTCAGAGACATCATCAAGGGGGAGAGAGCTTAAGAATCCCTCAAAGTTGTGATTCTTGTGAATACCAGAATAAGTTTTAGTTGTAATGTTGGGCATCATGGGAAGAACATTTGATGAAGTATTACAGATTGGCTGGGCACCAACCACACCATGGCTAGTGTGGGGAGGCAGGTCCAGGTTACATCGAATTGCTGAGCCAGAAATTGTGGACAAGGTGTCAGTCATGTCGCCAAGATCGCCCTTTCAAGCTCAAAATTTCGCCATTGTCATTGTAGATCTGTCGCCAGAGCATCATTAGCCACTAAAGTTTGTCGCCAAAAAAAAAATCGATCAATAAGCCATAATTAGGCTTTTTTTGTCAACAGAACACAGTAACTAGTGAAACTACAGTCTACTATGATCGGGCTCGATAATTCATAATTGCACGGGTTACGGTGCGCCGGGAAAACTGCCATGATAAATGAGCTCAGTAAGATAGTTGTACCCCATTTAATTGGGTATTCCATTTTAAAAATATAAATTCAAAATATAATTAGGCCAATTCTATTTTACAACAAAGAAATTCCGAACTGACAAGGATTTATGGGTCGGTACAATGGAAGGAACCTGCGAATATAACTATTTTACGAGCAGTGAAATTTACGCACTGATGCTATAAGCGCCACTGTCCAAGTTGATTCATCCGCATTTGAACACTGCTCGACTCCGTTCATTAATCGAACTAACTAAATTCATATCGTTAAACGAAACCTTTTAATTCAATATAGAAGAATACATGAAATGATTACGCATCTTTTTCAATGATGAAATTACATTGCAGAAGTAAATTTTCATGTAAGGCAAATTTTCAAACTACATATGTCTAATCAAAATATGGCAAACCTTTTTCGCTGCCATCAGCCTGTCTAGAACTCTACTGTGCACGTATTTTTGAGACGTGCGACCACGTTGATCATAAAAGATTGGGGAGCGGTGTTTGCCGACATTAGCATGGGCATTCCTGCTTCTGTACATTTGAGCTATTTCTGCAATAGTTTTCGGGCACTGTATAACATATGGTAGTGACCAGTCAACGAGAGTCCACATATCTAAGGTTTCATTTTCCTGGCCTCCGTCTTGGCGTTGAGACTTCATTACAGCATAATACGACTCTGCAACGGCCTCACTGCCCCCCAAACTCAGTGCCACATCAAGGACCGTGCAGAGCTCTTTACCAAGAGCAGAGTAGAGCTTAGATTCTGAGAAAATCAGGGAGTAAAGTTCGCCTTCATCGAGAGTCACAATTACCAACTCGTCTTTGGTTGAAATTTTAATTTCAAAATTACTCTGAAGATTGAAATCGTTCGTCTTTTCTTCGGAGAATTTCTCCACAAAAAAATCATCACCTAATGTACTCAAGGGCTCGCCAGAAAGAAGATGAAAACATTTGGTTCCAACAACGTGCAGCAATTCTCCCTATATGGTCGAAACCAGAGTTTCCTTCAATTTACCGTAAAGTGATGGAAATGGAAATGTTAGGAAATTTATAACTTAATTTATGGGCTTGTAACATTTTTACTCGTAGCTAAGAATTATTTATGCATCAACAAATTTCAATTCGATCATACTTTTGAGGCTGTAATATAGAAAACAATACATTCAGGTAGCAATTGAAAACAAGAAAATTGTGAGGTGAAATAAATTAATTTATACAGGGTGTCCCAAAAAAACGATGCCCAACTTTGAATGGCTGTAACTCAAACAGTAATAGAGTTGAAAAATTTTGGAAGGTCAGGATTTGTTTCCTATGTTTTTCTGCATCTCTCCACAAAAAATCAGACAGATCAATGTAGCCATAAGCGTTTGATAGAACTTTCAGTGACATGTGCTAAAATCGTGCTTGCGCAAAGTTTTAGTAAGATCATTTTGCATACTCATTACGTTGTCTTGACATGTTTTCTTTTCACTGTTTGATTTTTAGCACATTTTCTCATATATGAAAAAATGCACTATTGTGCTTGCCATGTCCGTCTGTCTGTCCGTCCGTGACTTCATGTTTTTGTTGGCAAGAAAATGCGCTCTGTCACTCACTGCAGTGAATACTGAGTTCCATTTTTTGTATCTTTGGTGAGACAAAAACATGGCAATCTTTGGTGAGAGAGAATTTCAAAACCAAAGATTGTCTCTCATCAAAGATTGCCATGTTTTTGTCTCACCAAAGACACAAAAAATGTAACTCAGTACTCACTGCAGTGAGTGACACTGAGCGCATTTTCTCATTGACAAAAACATGAAGTCACGGACAGACGGACATGGCGAGCACAATAGTGCATTTTTTCATAAATGAGAAAATGCGCTAAAAAATAAAACAGCAAAAAGAAAACATGTTGAGACAACGTAATGATTATGCAAAATGATCTTACTAAAACTGCACAAGCATGATTTTAGCACGTGTCACTGAAAGTTCTATCAAACGCTTATGGCTATATCAATCTGTCTGATTTTTGATGGAGAGATGGAGAATAACATAGGGAACAAATTCTGATCTTTCAAATTTTTTAACTCTTTTACTTTTCGAGTTACAGCCATTCAAAGTTGGGTATTGTTTTTTGGGACACCCTGTATGTATGTCACAAATAAAAGAAATGAAATGAAGATCATATTATTAGTAGTTTTAGTGAAGTAACTTGAATAAATAATTTCCTCACCTATGTTGTGCATAAGTTTTGGGAGCATGAGTATGAGACTGAGTAGCTTGGGCAGTAGCTCTCAAGGTTGCAAACCCTTTCCCGTGACGCAACTCATCTGAGAATACATTGCACCTCCTAATGAAAGTGTTGAGGAATTGGGCTGATATTTTGAAGATTGGTAGTTTTATGGAACGAACATCTGTCTTGGCTAAATTGAGCCAGTGGCCAGCATCCCACGTGACAGGAAAAGCAAATAGGCTCTGGAATGTGCTGCCAACACGCTCAGCCAATCTTGTAGCAAATCCCGATGCGGTGATGTACTGTCCATCACATGTTGCACCTGCAATGCGATATCACCGTGAGTAAATTCTAAGGCTAATTGAACATTGTTGCTGGGTAGATGTCTCACGTTGTGGGTGAGATAACCGTGTTACCTACTTTGAGTTTGTTTTGGCAACAACCCTTCTATCTAGTATGATAAAGGCAAATGAAAGACTGGTGTCTTGTATTTTAAATTGAAATAAAAATACAGTGAAAATGATGTACAGGAGAATAGCTAATCATTGAGTGCTTATGGGACAGTGTAATGAGTGAATAAGTTTAACTGTGTTCAGGAGTTATGATTTATGATTAGGGTTAGGGAGCATGGACTCATCAGTTATTCCATCATTGGTGAACTGAAAAATAAATAATACAAAAATCAATAACCTGTCCAACTAGATAATAATACTAAGCCTGAGGGGAAATTGAATGTTAAAACTGATGCAATAAATACTTAAAATAGATTCTTAATTTATTGCAAGCTGGTTGTGTGCAGCAAGCAAGAAATATAACAAACAAACAGACAAACATTATAATATTTGGAGTGAAATCAGTAAAACATTTGCAAAGATAAGCTAAACCAGAACAAGGATAAACCGCTCAAATAATTTGTAAAAGTTGTGAATTTGTCAAGAAAAATATACAAAAGCAAAGCATTCAAGAATAAATTGCAAGCAAATGACAGTTTAAATAAGAATTGCAATAAACATTGGATGATAAGTGAAGCACTAACAAAGTTACTTAATCAGATAGCAAAATTATGGGACATTCACAAAACATCATTGCTATTAAAAGGCTCACACCTAATTAAACTCACCAACAACTTGTGGCAGTTCCACTTAACGACTCATTGATTTAGGGCTCAGCAATTGCACTTGCATAGTCTCTCAATTACTTTCACAATAATTAGCAAGTTGTCATGAATACAATGAATTTACCGGCTGAAAAGAACAGAAAGAAAACATACATTTGACAATAATTATTAAGAAAACATTAATTAAACAATAATTTGTACCATAGAGAGCAGATGGTTGGGTGAAAAATATGGGTAGATGCCTCCTGGCAACAACATGATCCAATAAAAGAATTGATTAGTCTGAAAGCACAAAAATACTTGGCTTCCTCTGAAATTGAACTCTCGGTTGATATCTTTAATTCATAATTTAATATCAGCAAAGCAAACCTAAAAATTTGAAAATGGTGCGTACCTCGAAAACTTGCATAGGTATGTCAAGACACTAACCCATAAATTGTGTCTGGTGAGACTCGGTGAGTCCTGTCTTCTCAATAATTGTGTCAATAACACAATCGGCAAGTTCTTTAGCACTTCCACCAACCAGATTGACATCTAAGTTGCTTGAATCATCATTGTGATAGACAGCGGGAGCTCCGACTGGGACTGCAATGCGCAACCCATTCCAGTTAACTAGCAATATGGCTTGGTTTGTGTGACGATTCAAAGTTGCTTTGTCAGATATCAACGAATTCAGATGTAATGGATTCAAGATGTCGTAACATTTTTCCAACTAACCTGAATTCAAACCCGTAACTCACTACTCCGATGCTGATCATGTTTCCTACTAATCATATTTTATTTGAGTGTAATCATTATGTGAAATTAGAAATGTATTTTCAAAGTGCTGGATTACATGATAATGTATTTATGTCAGTGCACTAAGTCAACATGCATATCGCATGCATGTTTGCAAATGCTATTTATGTCCTACAAATTGTGAATGTAGATAGAAGTGCCTGTATATACAACTTAGATATGGAATACAAAAATAGGCTACTATTTTCTTTTTTGAAATTTAATTTTTATTTTTGTCATTTTTTAAGAATTTATTACTATTATTAATCAATGCCAGATTTTGAATAAAATGTTGAATCGTGAGTTTTATGGGCCATGAAAATAAACAATTGGTCTGTTCAAACATTCAATTAACATATTTTTTATTAGCATGATGCCTATTAATTTTCAATCAAATTAGAAATTCAAGTTTTTTACCAAAAGTGCAAATTTTTCAGACACATGTATCATCATCTCTTTGGTTAAAAATGATGCCAGTTTTATAAAAAACTTCTTTTGAGTTTAATTTCTCAAGCTTTCAGAAAGCTTGAGAAATTAAACTCAAAAGAAGTTCATAATAAAATTGGCATCATCATCACCTCTTTAAGCATCACCTCTTTATGAAGAATTTGCAAGATTCAGACTTTTGGCCATGCAGTTAGCAAACCATAGCTCTGTAAGAAAAGAAAACAGTGGTCTCCAGCGTATTTATTCATATATTCTAACAATGGATATAAATACAACCAATATGCAATTTGTAACTTATACTGTTGTGTATAAACTTGAAGCACCATCTTGAAATCAAAATGAAAACAATTGTCATTTTTGAATTGTTGTTGCGGATTGAAGCATCCCTTGTCCACAAGCTAGCATTGCATATGTTGTAAGATCATAACTAAGAGGTGAAATGCTTCAGGGTAGTGATTTGTGGTAAAGGTAATGGAAAAATGAGCAACACATGTAGTGAATTTAGTGCATGAAGATATTATAATGGGTCACATAATTTGTAGTAAAAAGTACAGGCTGTTTGTCTGTGTTATTTTTACAACTCTTCTCTTTAACTTCACTTCTTGTTTGTTTGTCTGTCTGTCTGCCTGTCTGTCTACTACAAATCTTATGATCAAAATTTAACACACTTCTACTTATCCTATTGATCTGAAATTTTGCACACTTGCGAGAAAATTGCAAAGTTGGTGAAAATGCAAGAATCAAATGACAAAATAAATGATTTAAAAGTTAAAAAAATTGAAAAAATAATTTATTCGCTACAAATCTTATAACTGATATTTGACACACTTTTACCTGTCTAATTACCCTGAAATTTTGCACACTTGTCACTTGTGTGAAGTTGGAGGCAATGCATGAATCAATTGACAGAATAAATAATTTTGAAAAAAAAATTTTTTAACAAAATAAATTGAAAAATTAATTTTTTTATATTCAAAAATAAAATTAGAAATTCATTGTACATCTGTAACATTGGAAACAGTGGATTCTTTAGAAGTGTTGTCTTTAAAAAGTAATTTCTAAACATATATTATTATTTTCAAGAATGAAAACATTGTATCTGTATGAATTGAAATAAGAAAGTTGTTTATATGTTATGTGAGCAAGTTTTTGTTATTGTAGAAAAATTGTGCCATTAGGCAAGGAACTATAATGTTTTAAGTATTTGTATTAGTGATAGTAGTGCAGATTCTGCCACCATGCACACCTCCCATGTGGTCTGTACTTGTCCAGGATAAGGTACCTGACATTAATATCAGTCTGCCAATTCCAGAAAAAGAAAGTCCCAATGGGAAATCCATAGTGGCTGAGGGTTCTTACATGCCTCTACAGATTCTTACATGCACCTACAGGTTTCTTACATGCACCTGCAGGGTTCTTACATGCACCTACAGTTTCTTACATGCCTCTACAGATTCCCACGCCCTCAGTTGGACCACACCCAAGGAGAGTGTGTGCCAAGAATTCCACCATGCTTAGCTCTTTTTGTGCTCATTGGGTAGAAATATTCCCCACCTGTCCTAAGTTGAAATGAATTTTTTTAAGTTGAAATGAACTAAGTTTCAATGAACTTGAAATCTTTTGGCTTGATCCTTGATCATGCACTTTTGCAAACAATTGTATAGGAAGCAATTCCTATCTGGAATATTTAGCAAAATTTAAAGAAAATTGTTGGATATGATTGTTTGCGATTTTCAAAAATCATAGACTAAAATGTTAATTAAAGCTTTTTTAAGTTATCTCATTTGCCAAGCTGTGTGCTCATATTTTACCGAATCTCTAACTTTACACTATAAATAGAAAAAAACTATAGATAATTGCCTATAGGCAATTAAACCTGTCATAAGGTATTTTTTTAATTTTTGTCCAAAACAATGCTGTTACTATACAGTCTGAAATGACCACTGCTCTGTGATCATCTATGAAATCTTTTGGGTGCAGTCACTCTGCAGGATATTATAGGAGAGCATGGTACAGAACTGCAGGAGTTCAAAATTTCATGTAATAACAACTCCATAAGTACTAATATTTGCAATCAAATCAAAATACAGCTATATGATTCATATAAGAAGATTCTCAGAAAGACATAGCTTTCATGGAATTTTATACCACAAAGTGAGCTTTCTGAAGCCAATGGATTGTGCAATGGTTCATCTATCATTCTTACATGCCTCTACAGATTCCCACGCCCTCAGTTGGACCACACCCAAGGAGAGTGTGTGCCAAGAATTCCACCATGCTTAGCTCTTTTTGTGCTCATTGGGTAGAAATATTCCCCACCTGTCCTAAGTTGAAATGAATTTTTTTTCAAGTTGAAATGAACCAAGTTTCAATGAACTTGAAATCTTTTGGCTTGATCCTTGATCATGCACTTTTGCAAACAATTGTATAGGAAGCAATTCCTATCTGGAATATTTAGCAAAATTTAAAGAAAATTGTTGGATATAATGATTGTTTGCGATTTTCAAAAATCATAGACTAAAATGTTAATTAAAGCTTTTTTAAGTTATCTCATTTGCCAAGCTGTGTGCTCATATTTTACCAAATCTCTAACTTTACACTATAAATAGAAAAAAACTATAGATAATTGCCTATAGGCAATTAAACCTGTCATAAGGTATTTTTTTAATTTTTGTCCAAAACAATGCTGTTACTATACAGTCTGAAATGACCACTGCTCTGTGATCATCTATGAAATCTTTTGGGTGCAGTCACTCTGCAGGATATTATAGGAGAGCATGGTACAGAACTGCAGGAGTTCAAAATTTCATGTAATAACAACTCCATAAGTACTAATATTTGCAATCAAATCAAAATACAGCTATATGATTCATATAAGAAGATTCTCAGAAAGACATAGCTTTCATGGAATTTTATACCACAAAGTGAGCTTTCTGAAGCCAATGGATTGTGCAATGGTTCATCTATCATGACTAAAGTAGATCAATTGGCAGCATTGGAGCAGATGTGGCTCTGCTGGCAGTGGGGGATTGGTGACACAAAAATTGGCTGTTGTTTATCAGCTAAATTTATAGCTGTGTACTTGAGCTGATTCCAGAGCCCAATCATTTAGAAATATATATGCAGGATCTGGCTACAAATTAGCTGAGTTAGCAACCCTTAGAGCATAGTGGCAGTTTGCTCGAACACAGCGTGTTAATATCAACCACATGTCTGAAATTTAAACTTTGAAGTGTATAGAAGTTGCATTCTAAATTATTATTTATTCACAATGAAGGAATCAAATAAAATTTTCATACGTTTCTGTTGGAAGAAATTTTTACCAAAGTCTGATGACCATACTAATTGTTTGATCTCTCATGTCATGTAATACATTGCTTAAATTTAACCTCATTTGGTTTCTAGTAATTCATCACATACGGTACCTTATTTAAATAGAATTGTATCATGTTTGTGAAGTTTTAAAATCCTATCAGTACCTCATTCACAATGCAGATTTATTGATTGAGTGTCCATGATTTTCAGAATGAATCCACTGGATCTCTGCACTTGACACCTGTTGACACCATGAGCGAAACCTCCACTCGAGTCCAGACAGAGCGGGCCTCTGCCAGCTCCAGCAGTTCTCCACCTACTCCTAAACCTCTTGATTACAGTAGTGAAAGTAAGAGAAGAGCAACTGTTGAGCAAACGAGGCATGTTCAAAACCTTGATAAACAAAATAAACATCTCAGCAGTCGTTTGCGAACTCCAGGACTTGATGAGAATGATGATGCTTACGATGAATCTGATGAGAAAAATTCCTCCCAGCTTCAGCCTCCAGGAGAAGAAACAGACTTGCATCCAGAGAGAAAAAGACCAGAAAATTCTCATTTATCAAGCAGAAGGCCAAGATTAATGCAATTTTCATCTCACTCTTCACATTATGTACATGATTTACCTGGCCCATCAGAGTCAGGGCTGTTTGGAAATTGGCCTGGCTATGTAAATCCCATGTACAGCTATATGCGTTCATCCAGAGAAACTTCTTCATCTGCTTCAATGAGGGTTCCAAACTATTACTATTCATCCATTGATACTCCCTTCTATGGCAACCATGAGGTGCCTAGAAAATGGTTTATGAATCAGAAAGATAATTTAAATGACTACATGAGACCTACAACAAGTTTTCAGAATGATGTCCACCTCCAAGCCCGTACTGAGTGGCCTTATGGTACAATGTCCAACCATCATGAGACACACCACAGCAGTGAATACAGTAATCACTATGACAGGCGGCAGCAGAGTTTTCATTCCTCTCGTACATATCAGCATCCTGTGCACAGCAGGTGGTTTAGAACTCCTTATAGATCTAGTCGGTCTTCATCATTTTCCAGAGAACTAAGTCACAGCCATGGGCATGAAAGTCCCAAATACCAGTCAAGTAGACAGCATGCGCATTCCTCAAGTAGAGAGAAAACTAACTCCAGCCCTGGTCCTAGGAAACATTCGTCGTCAGTTGGAACTGGAAAATCCAAAATTTTCCAAACCTTTTCAAAGAGTAGTACATCAATACTCAAACGAAAGAGCAAATTCAGTAGAAAGTATATTATGGATTTGAAAAGACCACAAAGTGCTGGTGCAATTCTCATGCATTCATCATCATCAATATCTTCGAGGTTTGCCAAGTTATCTCTGAGAAGAAGAAGGGAGAAAAAAGATGCTCCTGAAGATCCAAACAAGAAAGCACTCTCGGCAGCTGCTGATAAGCTGCGCAAAACTTTTTTGGCATCTAAGAAGTCTCTTGATGATACTAATGCCAAGGAGCTGCACAGGAAACAAAATGTTCCACACTTTGGAATGACCCAGGAAAATGCAGAGGATTTATCAATAAAAACTTATTCAGGACATTGTTCATTTAGTGATGGCTTACAAGAAATTAGAATTTCTGAAAAAGAAAACCTTGCCATGTCTACTAGACTTTCTCAATGCCCAGAATTCAAGTCTGGAGCAACTAGTGGCAAATGCAACGACCCAAGTTTATGTGATGATATTTCTGATGATAGTACTGATGAAGAGACTGGCAACAGAAAATTCCCACTGAAAAGTTTCCAATTGCTTCAGCGTCGACGTTATGCATCAGAAAGCGCAGGTGCAGCTCAGTCATCTAATTCTGTAAGAAGTAGAAGTAGATCCTCATCTGTTGGTGCATTTGATGCGTCTCCCATGAAGCCTCCTCCTGTTTCAAAGCATGACAAGAATCTTGGTTGTGAACACCCGCGGGTCAATAAAATGTTGGTTAAACAACTTTTGACCATGGATAAGAAGAGTCTGCAGGTATGTTCTTGTGAAATTTTACTTATTTTCCATAAATTTGCTTGTTACCAGTAACTCTGAAGTAGCATTTTTCAGAATCAATTGTTATATTTTCAAAAGTTCCTTGTATCCTGAATACAGAAAAATCTTCATACACGGTTGTGTTGTATTAATGTTTTTTATTTATGAAAATATATAACTTTATTCCAAATGATTATTAAAAATATTTTGTACATGTGTCTTTAAAATGAAGTTTTGCTTAGAGTTAACTTGTTTGTCTTAAGTTGTGTTTTTTAAGCAGGTTATACAATATAAGATTATTTTAGGTCTAATTTGTCAGCAGTATGTATAAATATTTTATTTTTATTAATATATACCTTATCTACATAAATTTCATTGTTTGTAATATGCATATGAGATTGGAAAGTAATCACTATGACACTAATCACTCAGGTACTGTACTCACTGCTGTTGTGTATGACACGGTGGTTGGAGATTGGGACCTGAGGCCATTCAGTACGGGCTGGGAGCTGGACATCATTTAAAAACTTGTAGTTGGATTTATGTATCTGAAAAATGAATCTCATGATGAAAAAGGTGTCATTCTAGTTTTTGTAGAATTTTTATTTGTTTATATATTGCTTGTATTAATTACATTTACACTGGACAGGAGCTGGTAGCAGACCCCCGATCACGCAAAGCTCAGTTCATGGTGAGTCACCTGATGTCAGAGCAGCGCTCTGCCTTGGCCCAGCGTCTTGACTTGCTTCGTGGTCAACACTCCCTTGAGAATAAGGCTCAATTGCTGGGTGCATCTTGTCCTGGTGCTGCTCATGGCATCCTGCTGGACACTCCTTCAACATCCTGTACTCTGGACAGGGAGAAAGAGGAACTACAAATTCTTGGTCAGATGGAGGCATTGGAGCTGGGAACCCTCCCCAATAATGTTCTAATCCAGGTATATTACACACAGTGTTTTTAAATTCTGTTAATTTGTTTAATATAGTATAATGTGGTCATTGTTATACCTAACATTTCTTTGATTACACAGACATACTACTAACGTTTTACCGAAACTAGTTAAGGATTAATTTTGCATTGCCCTGCGGTACTGATATAGAATTTGATGTTAATTTGGAGTGTGTAAAGTTGAGTTTCCATTTCAAATCATTTCACTATTTACTGAAGCTTTAAAACTTTATTGACAGTTATATTTTTTAGTTCTTTTGGATTTGAGCATAAAATTTATAGCTAATTGAGTCTAAAATGATGGAAAAAAATAAGATTGCATCACCCATACCGTGATGCAAACTGAGAATGACATTATAAACAAAATAAATTAGTGTTTTTGTAATCTGTACTTGTAGAAGCTGTTAGTAGGATATTATATTGAAGTTTTCACATCAACTGTATCGATGAAGTCTGCTATTTCCAGAGCATCTTTCAATTTAATTTTTTTTTCATCTTTTACTTGCTACGGCCTAAAGTCTTTGCTCTTTATGCGACTGAACTAAAAAAATGCTATTATTTATGAGGCAAGAAGCCATACAATATGTTTCCTAAGGTTTTCAATATATTAGAAATTTGATCTATGTACCGCAGAAAACTACTGACACTGGCAATCTCGGTCTCCATATTAGTTATGAAAATACATCTAACTTGAGTCAGCAATTCAAAATTAAATAACGAATTTATTTTTTTTTACTGCAATTATTTACTGATGTAATAAATTTGCTTACATTTTTTTTATTATTTCCAATGTTTGAGAAGTACAAATGATGTGTTTTTCAGTTGTGCCAGATCCTATCAGCTGAGCAAAATGGACTGGCAGGGCAAGACTTAGCCTTCCTGTCACTGGACGACCTCATGGGCGGGGGACAAGCGAGTAGCCACGACTCTGAGGCCCCCAAGCCCACCACGTCTGCAGGTGAATGATGCTTCCAAATGTTGTTCTCTTGTACATGTGTCTTTCTCCATAATACTATTCTCCTTAAACGCATCCTTATAAATGCAGAGTTATTGTTCTTTGATTTGTATTATTTCAGTATTAAGTCATTAGTACTCGGTCTATTCTAATTTCTTCAATTAAAGTTGTGAACTAGCTGGAACTGTCAAGTTATCTTCTTAGCATTAAATTAAATGTGCTACAACTTTAAACCTTAACTGTACCATTTTTATAACACTTATTGAAAGCCAGTTCTTTATTGAAAGAAGCTATGCAATATTTATTGATTATAGTTGGCTACTAAGTCACGTGAATCATATCTTTGACCACATGGCAAGTATAAAATTAGGTAAAACCCATGCATAGACTTTACTATTTACTGTGCATCTTGGATTTCATCTTGAATTGTAACGTAGTCTCTTAGTAAATATTCTATGGGATTCAACTGCAAACCTACATCACATTGTACTTCTGTCATACCACTGACAATATTTGGTTTACTGACCTGCTTTTCAAGATGAAAATGTGTCAATGCTCTATTTTTTTCTCAGAACGATCAGATGACTGCAAGGAACCTCTGCAGCTAACGTGCTCAAAATTATCTGCACTTTCCTCTCCAGGGAGCACCTCCAACGCTGGAGCAAATGTACAAGTTTTACCTCCAAGCTCTACTCTAGCGCCAGATTTTTCACACCAGCAAAATGAGGATGATGTAGAGCAGGATCTGATGTCGCCATGTCGTTCGAAGTTTAAATCACATTTATCCTCACTAAATGACTCGAAATCTGCCCAAAACTTTTTGGTTTCAACTCGGCCCTCCTCACATCCTGACAGTTTAGTGGCGCACCGACAGGAAGAGGCTTCCCTACAGCCAAATGTGATGCGTTGCCCTGAAGGCTGTCAAGATAATACGGCTGTTGGTGTTCCGCCTACAGTTTCTGCTGTGAGCACGGAATGCATGTCTCGAACAAATACAAGCATGTCATCTCAAGGCACAGACTTACGGACTTATCAAGCCATTGAAAGATCATTGATGTCATCTGAGAATATATCAGAGTTCAAGTTGCCTCAGAAGAAAACACCGGTTGGATTGGTTCTTAAATCTGAATTGTGCCATTTAGATATTGGGTCTGCTTTCAATGCACCCACAACAGAAACTGACGACAGTCTCGCTAACAAATCTTGCTCAAGTGATATGGAATGTCAAATTGTGTCACCACCTCCTAAACTGGCTCCTGCTATGATAACCATTGATGATTCTGACAACGAAGAGGTGAAAAATATTGCCAAAAACCAAGTTGTTCAGGCTATTAATGTTAACAAGAACTCCCCATCTTCTCATGGGTTCACTCCAATTGAGGAACCAAGCTCGGTCTTCAGAACCCCGCTTCCTCTGCAAATTATCTCGCCACGTGCCCGACCCATTTCCAATGTTCACTTCAACATCCCTGTACCGCACGTTGACCCAGCCACTTGCAATGCTGGCACTGCTTCTGCAGTGTCGCTTCACACTGCCTCATCTGTGCCTCTCAATAGTTCTTATGTTCAATCTTCACTCTCATCTCCTGCCATGTCTCCAATCGAATGTAAACCTCATATAGTCAAGTCACCGCCATCGTCTCCACCTCCTCAGCATCATGCAGCTTCCACAGGTCCTCATTCAACTGTGGGCTGCCATTCTTCTAACCTTCTATACATGCAAACTTCCTCTGCTCTAGAACCAAAAAGCTCTCCACCGGTCACACCTGCCCTTATCCGACCATCGTTCCTGAGATCTCCTCCCCTCTTACCTCACGGGCCCCGTAAGTCTTCCCCTGTGACTTCCTCTTCACGTTCACCGTCATTATCTCCCGGAAACTCTGCAGCAGTAAATCATGTTCTACTGCACACCAGCATTGCAACAGTGCCACTCATGCCTCCGCCACCAGTACAGCAGCAGCCATTGCATGAGGTTCATTTACACTCTGGCTTACACCGCACTCTGAACCTTGGCTTGCCGCCACCACAGCTTGATGGGCTGAGAGACTGCGACTCGTCAGGTCGACGTGCTCCTCCACCTCAGCCAGCAGGATCTCTTGATGACTTGCGGCAACATGGCAACGCAGAGGATGGTCCAGGCAGGCATGCTTCTCGGACTCCTGCTAACGCAAGACCTGGTCTCAAGGTAAGGTCTGGAAGCAAGGATTACATTTACTAGAACCAATTACAGTAGAATATCAGGTAACTACTATAATCCGTTCCATAAAGGTTGACGTTAACTGAAACTTCTGTTGACCAAAATAATTTTTCCCATAAGAAACAATGGAAATAGAAATAATTGGCTCCCAGCCTTTCTTGACTCGCTAATACATTAAAGATACAGGCTATGTAAGAATGTTTCATAAGCGAGTACAGTTATAAATTTAGTTATATTGTTATGTTATTTTATTGACGTTTGTCTGGCTATAATGATAACATTGACAACTTATGTAATAGACTTGATTCGCTAATACTTTTGTTGCCCAAAAAAGCACAGAAGTGTTATTGATGTCTCCACACCACGACCGTTTTCGAATTCTCCTTGAGCTTTTAAAACCAAAGTATTTTAATTGTACTTGAGAGAATCAATTCAGTGTTTTATTTTTAGGTGAAGGAAGAGACGCCATCACCACAGCTGGAGTGCCATCTATGCCAGCAAGATTCCCCTCATTGCTGCCCCTACACCCCCATGCCCCCAGCACACTCCCCGCCCTCGAGAGCCAGCCCAGCCCCTGCAGCTGCTGGTGCGTATAAGTTAGAGACTAAAGTTAACTCTCAGTTTGAACTATAGAGAGAGAGAGAGTTAACACTCGTTATTTATAGTCTGTAGGTAACCGTGTAACCATGCGTTGTCCAATTATTTCATCATTAAGACAAATAATATTTTTTTGTAATTTACATTCACAAGCACTGTTAATATATAATACAGTCGAGTCTTTCCTGGTATCTGAAGTAGATTGTGAGAGACCAGATGAATTTGTGTGCTATTTATCACGCTTTGCCTCTTTCATGTCTTCTTGACCCATTTTAACATCAAATATATTCCAGGCTCATTCTTGTGCGAGAACGTCAACAGGCCTTCCTCTAAAGAACGGCCTCGTAACCCCGCTCCTCCCAACACCCCACATCGTATCCCCAGTCCAGCAGTCCTCCCCACGCCCCCTCGGCCCGTCATGTTCCCCAACGAGCCTCACATCCCCGAGCGTCCTGCCCCACCCCTCCCCACTCAGGGTCTGGGGACACCGAGGCACCTCTTCAAGCAGGAGAGGCAAACCCCCAGTCTTGGGTACCCCTGCTGCTGCCTTAGAAACGAGTGTAGCAGGTACAGTACAGCCAGTCGAGGCAACATTTGCCATGTTTTTCTTTAAATTACATGGCGAATTTTAAGACGTTGTACCTCAATGATGATCAATTTGTTTCCATTTTAAATATGCTGGCTCGTATGTTGAAAAAGATTGGAGGTATTTCCATAAATTTTGAATTGAAATACATGCTGTGCAGGGCTTCGAGCAGCAGTATGGACAGTAGCGCACCAGAAGGGCTGCGGAGTGGAAGTCCTCCGTCTAATGTAAACACGAGTTGCGTGGGGCGTCTTTGGTTCTTTTCTCCTACCCTATCCCGTCAAAATGCCGGCCATCCTCACACCAACATTGTTAACGATATCCCTCACCATCACCATCATCATCGGCATCACTTTCACGAGCCAGATAATCTTACAGCTGAAAGAGATTCCAAAATCCTTAAAAGGGAGAGACTTACCCCTAGCCTGTGCAGAGGTGTTGAACTTCCCAGCGCCTGGATGCCAAGTAGACCTAAGCCTGATCCAACTCATGCTGACGACAGCTCTGCGAGTATCGCTGTACCTATACCAGATCAGCCAATGAACGAAGTTGCTGCAAATGATGTAAATAAATCTATGCTCAATTCGGTGTCAGTTGCAGTTCAAACGCAAGACGTGGATGATCTAGCTGCAGAAAATGCTGCTTCGAGAGCGCGTCTTGTGTCTCCAGTTAGTGATGAAATTAACATTGCGGAGTCACTCTCACTCCGGCAATCTCCAATTCCAAGGCAATCTCCCACCCAAACTAACAGGATGAACAAGTCACGTCCAAAGTCTACAAACAACAACAATTTTAGTGCCATTCAAACAACAAGCTCAAGTTTATTGAATAGAACAACTGCTACTCAGTTTAGAAGGCCTAAAACTGGCGTCCTGATCGACTCGGCTCAGTGTTTCCTTGAAGAACTTGGTCGTCTGAGCACATTAGAAGAAATACTTTTTAAAGGCCTTACTGAAATTGACAGGAAAACCGAAGAACTGGCTAGGCAAAGGTCAAACCTGACGTTGCAGATGACACAACTTCATCAAGAGCGCAATGATTTACTGCTGCGCCTTGTGAGTGAGAATAGCACTGGTGGTGTGACGCGGCATGGCCGTTGCAGTGTTCCGCTAATGCCATATCTCAGTAATATTGACGAACGCAATGGGAACTTTGCTCGAAATTCTCGTGAGATCAACCGGAATTGCAGGAATGGGAGCAATCGAGAAGCTGCTGACTCAAGTATTTCTTTGGTAAGTTCATCTCAAGAAATGGGACCTTCGACAAGCGACTCTCAGGCCGGTGCTGATTTATTAGCAAATCAGCAGGTTGCCGCCGACGACGTTTCAATTGAGCGCCAACGATGCACATCAACTTCACATTCCCCAGATGGAGAACGTAGTTTTTCCATGCAACAAGAAGATAGCATTGCTACCTTTACTGAAGTTACAAATTCAGACTCCGATGGAGATGCATCGCTGAAGGCTATAAGCGTTGATGGCTATTCTGACACAGGCTCTGCCTCTGCTCCTACATCTCGTTTCCAATATAATCCTCATATGAATGTTAGGGTTACAAGAAAAAGATCTAAGTCTACCTCTGAAAGCATAGAAGACTCGGATTGCAGAAATGCTAATGAAGAAAACAACAAAGATGCAATTGTGTGTTTAACAATCCCTGACACAACTCAAGATAATGCAGAGAGCAGCGGCCTCTCAGTTGGACAAGGGTTATCAGCGAACTGCAAAGCAGAGATGAATGTGAGTCACAATGCCTGTCGTAATCATCTTGCTCAAAACTGCATTATGGATCAACAATCCCCTAACTCAGATACCCCTTCTAAGATTTTCTTACAGAGCCCCAAGTCGCGAAATTCTTCAGGAAGTGATCACAGTTACAGCCTAAGGTCGCGTGGGCCCCCAGAAGGAGATAGGGAAAAGCACAGACGTTCAGTTTCTCACGGAGATTCAAGGGAAGAGTCTCTCACTGATGGCATTCTGAGCCCTGGCAATACTATTCTTGGACTAAAAAAAGAACTGACGGAGGAAGAGCAAGTTGTTGAAGACGGTAATGAAGAGGACGTGCATGACCAATGTTTGTCAGCGGCGTCTTCAGTTGAGTCGTTGGACTGCAAGATGAGCAATGCTGAAACTCACTCAGTGCAGCAGCAGCATCATCGCTACAAGCGGAAACGACGTAGTAGAAAACATTCTTTCTGTGGTCCTAGTAGTAGTAAGAGGAAGAAATTGCACACGTCTCCAGCCAGTGACAGGTGCGAGAAGAAAACCTCGGCTGCAAATTCCCCGTTGTCGTCAAGAAAAAAATCTTCTGTTGAAAGTCATCATCTCTTTAGCAGCCCAGATACAAGTTTAAGCAAAAAAACTCAAAAGCACAAATTGACGGCTAACCAACGCGAGGATAAAAACGATGAAAAATTGATTATCCTTCCGCCGCCTCTGAAAGAACCTGTGCTAGACATTAAGGTGAGCGTTCTTATTGTTTTGTATGCATACTAATGTTCTTTTCTGGTCCTTAGAACTCGTTTCTTCCACATGCAACTGCCGGATCACAGTTATGATCATAAAGTTCACTGTACATGACACTTAATCTGTTAATTATGGTACCATTTGTCTAATAATCATCACGATTATCTTTGTCATATCTTGTCTATGTCTATTATCAATGAAGCTATTTTAAAACAATTTTTACAGGTAATATTGAACTTTGTTCATGATCGCACCTATAATTTTTTTGCGTTCATTTTCCAGGCATGGAATTGTGTCAAAGAATAATGTTGGAAGTGTTACAGCGCGAGTTATATATTAAGAGATTTATTGCTATTTCAGATTGTGGGAGATTACATATTTACCTGTAGCAACAGCAGCATCAGATGCTTCCATCTGCTCACGGGCGCTGCCTGCGCTTCGTACGTCTCTGATAAAAGAAACATCACAGCGCTTGCTGTGGTCGGCACCCCTCACTTCACCCGAGCAATTCGTGACCATGAGACTAATGATAATCTTAGACGACATGAAAACAAAGGCGGAGAAAGAGATATCAAGAGTGGATGTGACGTGAACAAAACCGAAGGTGATTTTGTATCTGATGTAAATGAAAATAACCGCGGAAGTGATGAAACTCAAAGAGGAGGTAATCGGTTGAATGAAAACAAGTGTGGACACTCGAGACCAGAAGCCGCGGCCGGCTTCAAGGACTCCTCATTTGAAGTGATCACGGGCTCGACTGACGGAACGCTTTGTGTCTACGACGGCCACGTGCGTTAATAAATAATTGCTATCCAGTAGTACAATTACCGTAATAAATAATTGCTATATGCTATCCTCAGATAGCAGTCTTTTCCGCAATAGGGTTATTTATCATTTTTGTCATCGCTGCTGTCTGTAGGTAATGAGGACTGTGTAACATCTTCTGTATTTCAATTTGGTATCATTTTTGAAAGGAGAAACATGAACCTATAGAAATTTTCCCAAGAAACTTGCAATAGACTTAGCAGGTATCATTTCCTCGATTTGATTTCACGCCTCCTTATTTGATTTCTCTAGTGTCATCACCTTCTCATTACTCTCCTCTTATTATTTTCAATTATGTCATTACAATGTCTCCCGCAGAAGGGTTCAGTGCTGCAGAGCCGAGCTGTGGAGGGAGCCATTCGCTGCGTCGCCGCTGCCTGGGGGCACGTCTTCTGTGGCATGTTTGCCGGGCAAACCGCTCGCTGGGGCTACAAGGTATAGTCATATTTTCTTGCTAGAATTGTGAGGTAATGAATATTGTCTTACTGCTGATAATAAGGATTTATTACTTTGGAAGATTTGCCAGATTTATTGCAAAGATTTACATCTTACTGATGTTATCGTAGGGTTAGCGCTACGATGTTGTTTCAGTAGCACTGTGGAACCCCAGTAGTGTCAGGATACATATCGCTACAGCGCTACGTTGTAGGAACGCAATGCTGAGTTGTCCAGCTAGCTGAATCTACAAGCTAATTTGCATGGACTTCAGAACCTAATTGCAAGAGCCGGCAGGGTGTTGTTTTCATATTATAAATATACAGATGTGCCAGATGTGCGACTAATGCTAGGTATGATACAAGATTGTCTAATCTACGACATGATACTAATCTTTATGTAATACATAGATTATGCCCGTGATCTTGAACATGATACTAATTTATGTGTAATACTTACACTATGCCTCTGATCTACGTGTTATACATACATGGGTTGTTCAAAATATGGGAAACTCGTGACATTTTGAAATCGTAATTTTTGAACATATCGTGAACAATGAAAACGTGATATCTTGTAATGTTTTTTTTTATTGTTGCTGCTAATTGATATTTCATCCTTGCACAGATATTTTTAGTTGATTTTTGTGTCTATAGAATAGAATAGAAGTGTCGGCGTTGAAGAAATAAGCCCATGGCCTGTTGCCGATTCTTGAACTATTCCTGACTTGATTCACAAGGGATCCGGCCTTTGGAACCCGATCTTTCCATAGCTGACGATTGATTGAGATAGCTGCTGGACTTATTGCCTGGTCCGTAATTTGCTAGGCATTTTAAGACTGAACATATGCTCCTGCATCTGTCTCTTATACACATCTAGATGTGTATAAGAGACAGCTAGTGTACTGCAGACAGGTGTGTAAATGATGTAGCTGTTACATCCTAGTGTACTGCAGACAGGTGTGTAAATGATGTAGCTGTTACATCCTAGTGTACTGCAGACAGGTGTGTAAATGATGTAGCTGTTACATCCGAGTGTACTGTAGGCAGGTGTGTGGATGATTGTGTCGAAGTAGCCTCAGATATTCAAATTACCAGTCGCGTCAGCTTGACATCTCGGATGGTCTCTCGTCACACTTACCAATGACCGGAAACTATAAGATACTTCCCTTTTGGCTTAATACGCAAGGCTTGGCCTGGACGGGATTTAAAACGCCAATGACAAGCTAAAGTTTATATATTAAAGATAAACTGCAAATTATTAAAGAAACAAGTCATAAAGGGTAATCTTTACAAAACGGTTGCTAAATAGGAAACTAGCATAAACATACTTGCAAGCCCGATACGAGAGCTGTGAAAAATCTAATGCAAAAATAGAGGGGCTAGTGCTAGGAGTTATCTGACAAAGCGCGTGATCCTGAAAACAGAAAACAAGGTGGAAATCAATTATATGTTCATTAATATCACGGTATTTCACAATGCATTCGAATTTCATCACTATCGAATGCAATAACTTACCCTGGCGTTGGAGTTAAAATCCTATAAGAGAGAAACCGGTGCGCCAGCCGGGATCAGCAGCTTAACTGACGGCTACCAAAAATTTAACTCTCATGCTAGAGCTGGTCACGCTTGATCTTAGCGGTCTAATGGCAAGTAGTAGGAAATTTTTCAGCCTACTATATTACATTGATGCTGCTTTCAATTAGGCTCTTTCAAGCAAGATGCCTGCATACCATCTGAAGGCCGCCACGCGCGTCTGCTTAGATCATGGCTATTGTTTATATGCGGCAAGTCGTGCTGTTGTCTCGACTGTAAAGTCCAGGTAATGTGGGGATGGACTTGACGGCGCGGGCATGGAAGTGAATGTTTGTCGAAAAAGAAGATGAGGTTAATCGGAGTCACAGAAGCAACTGCAGTAGCAGGTCATGCTAATACGGCTGGCCGCTCGTAAATGGTTGATGGTTTGAAGGTGTGGCGACCGAAGATTAACGATATTTTATTTCTAGTATAGCTTATTATTAGATTGATGCTTTTAGATGTGCTTTATTTTAGTTCCTGGAATTGTGTTGCAGTTATTAACAAAGCAAAGCATGATCGTGTTAGGCGACTTATTTCAAAGGGCGCAACAGGTAAGCAGGTTTCGTGAGTTCAAGGTTCATGTAATCATTGGCTGATGTGATTATTTTATCATCGGTATTTTGTACCTTACCGCTTTCTTCAACTATTATTTTTACCTATGCATGTAATATGTTGCACGTTTGCAACTGATGCAATGATTTCGTTTGCATTAATTGGACATTCTTGAGTAAGTTCTCAAACGGAAGAATCCATATTTGATGTGACATATTTTTGTTGAATTTCAATTAATTACGAAGTTTTTGTGCAGACCGGGGCTCTCGTGCGCGTCTTGAAAGTGGAAGCCAACAATAAGCTGCTCATATGCTCCGCCGTCTACAGGCACAAAGTCAGTCTCTATATCCTTACCTTTAAAATACCTGATATCTTAATTTCAAACAAGATTCAGTTCTTGTTCGCCACCCTGAATTCTAAATGATTAGCCTCTACACTTCAGTTTGATGTGATCTAAGAGATAATCATCACACGGTGATCCTTGACGAAATTTTTAGATAGCTCAAACAATATTGAGGCATACTAAAAATTTCTTGTGTAATACTAAGCCTAGTTTAGCCGTTATAGAAATTGGTGATTATTAGCGAGTAATGTGCCGGATATTGCTATAAGCTGTTCTCTGAACCTGCAAAAGATTGCGCTTGATAATAAAAAAATTTATTAATTACATTCGTTCATTTTTGCATTAAGCATATAATTTTTCTCTTGAGATTCTTATTAAGGAACGTATTGCAGGTGCTGGTCGGGAGCAAAGGCGGTGATATTGTGTCTGTGGATCTGCCTTGAAACGAGTTGAAGAAGACTGCCTCTGCCCTGAGTTCCTTAGCGACTTCTATTCCGCATTAATGCTTCGATGGTGCCATCAATTTCACAAGCCTAGAAATTCATGGAAGCATATTGCACATTTTTCTAGGCTTTGTGCGCGTTAGAAATCAAATTTTATTGGCAGCAGCAGTCAGTTAAACTTGTTGTGGACCATCACGATGGCTTAGCTGCAACGCACGCCAATTATGCAGGAAAATGAAGTATTCCTCTGAGTTGTTTGAGTGTTCCCTGCTTTATTTTGATTCTTTCTATACTGTTACATCCTTGGTATCCTTCAAATTGCTTCGTAAGTCTAAAGCTTGCGAAGAAACGCGTCAACATAATATGATACATTTCTATGAGAATTTAGAACCGGAGTTGAAATTTTGATTTACGTCAATTTTGGTCTAGTTCATGCACTTGCACACATGTTGTCTGGTATGGCACATGAACATGCGAATCAGAGTGCAGAGCGTGTTATTCATAAATCTACCTTATATATCTTCTTAATATTTTTAAATTTTAAAATATTGTACGGATAAATGTGACGCGCCTTGTTAATCAGTGAGTTTGTATTTAATGATCCCATTTTTCCTGGCTGCCACTGTAGTTACTGCGCTGTGCCAGAAAGCCAGACATTTAAATTACCAACATTACTTCCGAAAATGGCACGTAGTGTTCACTTATCTTGGTGCTCAATAAACCTATTCCAATGTTCCTGAAAAGAAATATTCAAATATAATTCAAGTAAATCAGTAAAAAAAAAGTATCTCAAAATGTGAAGCTGGCTTTCGAAAATGGTAAATCGGTTCATTGGAAACTGTATGCTATTAATAAATATGAGAGTTGGCCGAATGCTCGGTGTCGAGGTAGAAGTTCCGTTATTTACTGCGGCCAAAACACGAGAAAACTCATCAACACGCGGAAAAAGCGCCAGTGAATTCTTGCTTTTAATGTAACTCGGCATGTATTAGAAGTCCATCAATGTTTGTTGTACTAAATCAGTGATTAATGGATCCTTCCTAAGAGATAATGCGAAGACCTTGAAGTCAACTGATGTTCCTTTGCTGTGGTTAGTCACACTCTTATTAATTTCATCACGTCGACCTCGTTGTGACCGCGCCATTCGCAGCGTCTTTGAAACTGTTTGATATTTTTAGTGTCTTCAGAAATCAGGGCTTCATCTCGAAAAGTCGGAGAATTTTACGAACATTATCCTATCAAATTTACTTGTAATTTAATTGAGACTACTTCTTAAATGTTTGTAATCTAATTCATTAAGGAAATCTTGAAGCCCTAGCGTGCAGTTTATTATCTGTGAATCGCACAAGGAAACATGATGTCTGTTCTCATTGTTGGTGATCATATTTCGCTAAGCCGATATGCGGTAGCCGACTCGGCTATGAATTTTCAACTGATCTCATTCGGTTTAAAGTTTGGCTAGTAAATAAATAACTTTGCGCCTTTCTTCTACACTTTCAATCTTAATGATTTTATTTATTTCTGAAAACGATTTTGATCGATTTTAGTTCCTAATAATTTCTAGCCTATTCCTGGACTTCCAGACATAAATTCAGATCATTGTATGCTCTTCATGACCCGTTCCTCCATGGGATACACTTAGTACTTGATGCACTGGTTGAGAATACGTAATTTATCTCGAACCTTTCAACCCATAACTGCCAGTCGTGCTGAGCATTGGAGCAGCGCTGCTTTGTAAATGCGCAAATGATTTTCTGATTCTCGTGCGCATCTCGGATGAAGTTTAAGATTTACCAAGTTTTCCGTAGCTGTAAGTTTGAAGGATCTCTGTACCTGGCTTTCTTGTTGTTCTTGCTTGATAAGCTTAGGTGTTTTGCCCTTCTTTCTCTCCGAATCTTATTGGGGCTTGAATTGTTTGCTAGCTTTACAGTCTGTGTGGATTTAATCTAATTTCTGATTTTGCTCATTATCTTACTGATATTCTTCACAGATGTAAATGTTTGTTGTTTAATCTGATGCACATTTTTGCGAACTTTATTATTACGCGCATCATTTTCTTAGCGTGCAAATTAAGCCTATATGTATAAAGACATCGAAGAGATATAACGTCAGACAAGTAATATTATTTTGCTTGTCGTTATACTTTTTAAATCTTTATTTGTTCGATTCAATAGTCATGTTTGTTTCTTGATTGCCAGATATATATCCGTTCATCCGAACGTGTCCGGCAATCTTAGTCGTTTCACACCTGCAATGCAAATTTGTTCAATGACGGCAACTGTCTACAGATTGCCCTGATAACCTGATAACTCGTTTGATGATCTGGACTGTCAACCAATTGTCCTGATAATTTGGTTGAAGGCTCGACGGGACTTCTTCCCGATTGTCCTGATCATTCGCTGTGTGACCTGATTATTGCAGATCGATTGTCCTGGACCCAATAGTTAAGTTTCAATTGCCTTGAACACGTTTGTTACCATCTTATTTTCCAGTTACGAATGAAGCATTGATCCATTTTAATTAGGCTCGAATAAAACGAGTGTTATCGAGTGCCATAGAGATTTATATGTGATGGTTATCTCCGCAAATGTTTTAAGATATTTGTTCATCGTGTAAAACTAGTAAGGTTTCCAGCTGTTTTCCCGTAAGCAATGTCGTGAGTCATTTTCTATTTCATTTACGAGGTTAGTAAGATCATAGATTTGCTAGAGTGACATCCCTCCGATATACGGCTAAAGAAGTAGTATAAGTCAAGCTGGTCACTTCCTTCTTATAATAATAGTAAAAACTTGATAGTCATAAAAAGTTGATGAGGTTTTATTGCAAGTACCAGCTTATCAGATTGACGCGTTTTAGTTCATTGTGAATTGTGTTGAAGTTATTAACAATACGAAACTTGAACGTCTCAAGTGACTTATTTCAAATGGCACAATAGAACGCCTCATTCTCCGCAGATATTAGTTCACGTTATTTTTGTATGGAATGGCTCTGTATTATAAAATCTTCATTGTTGTTCCAACTCAAGTCCAATGTTTTAAAGCAAATATCAATAGTTTTTTTTCACCACCTTTCCCAACTTGACTGACTGAACCAACGGTCCTGATATAGCTTGTTGGACTGAAGACCAAAAAAATGCCGTCAATAAATCGAGACACTGAGCCCAGTGAAAACCCAACATTATGTATTTGAAGCCAATTAAAAAGCACTAGTCATTGATGGCCTAAAAAAGCTGGCCTAATGAAGAATTATATTATTTATACTTCTTATACGTGTCATATTGTGGTTTGAACGCAACATGTTCGTTGCACGGTGTAAACAACGTACGTTCTTCGCTCTCTCAACAAACAAGCGATATCAGCTCCATAAGAAAGTAATGGGTCATATTGTACAAATATTTACATTTCCTGCACGTAGCACTGATAACCCATTTTTGAGTCAATCTGGGTGAAGATGACCCTCAAGGCAAAAGATGCGTCGTTATTTGCACAGATTTTCACGTATTTCTCTGAGTGCACGTAGTCAACGCGCATTCCAGAAATTTTGACCTCGCAATCCATGCCATCTGTATCCATGCCCTTGGAAATTTTCACTCTTTCGGTTGACGTTTGAATTGGGCAATAGGCCCAATAGCTTTGATGTGGGCCAATGATATTTCTTGTCAATCTGTGCAATATTATGCCCTATTAAAAAAATAAATCTAAACTATATACATAATGAAAAGTCCTGGAACATAGTAAAAAATATATATTCTAAGTTCGCTAAATAAATAGACAGGATTTTACTCACTTTAAAGTTACATATACGTGCCACAGAATAACTTTTTGGTGAGTGAGCCTATTAAACTTGACCAATAACCCGAGAACTTCCTAAATTTAATTGTATTTGCATAGCGGTAGATTTACACGGCAGGATTATCTCCATCGCCGTCGACTGGGACATCTGGCGGCTGCTTCTCGCTCTTTTCGTCCGATTCTGAAATTTGTAAACAGAATATCAACCGATTTTAGATAGAAAATTTTGGCACGTCCATGTAAGTTTTCAAGCACCTTTGTACAGTTTAATCCTGGAGGTGTTCCATCATACCATGAACAAGTCTTCCTAAATGGAGAGGACAAATTCTCGGTATGAGTCACAATAGGTAAAGAAATAACAAAACAAATGACTTTTGGAGCGGCAATGCAAGTGAAGACAATACTACCTCATTAAAAACAATTGTGTGAATGTGTTGCAATGGAATAAGCTCAGTTGAGCGACACAATCTCAGCAAGATTCGCTTGTAGCGATATGAAAACTCTTATAGATTTTAGTCTCATTTCCAATACTAATAGGAGGTGTTGTCACTTCTGCAGACGTATCGGTGCATTTTGATCTCAGAATATTTACAAAGAATACGCGATTCAAGACGTCACATTAGGTTTACGGCTCCGAAAGAGATTCTAGTGCCATCACGCGTCGTGAGATGGTACCTTGAGGCAACATTTGGAACCACTGGGAACAGTCTTCTAGTTACTGATACGGTATGAAATTTATCTGAGAAACCCTTCATGAAGGCGACTTATCAAACTCACCAAGCCTCATCGTGAAGTTGCCTGCGGTCGTGCGAATGAATAAGTTCTAGAAGGATTCCCACACAAAGAAAAAGGTGGATAAATATTTCTGACAAAGAAGTACAAGATTTATTTACATTTAAACATAGAGAAGCAATTGTCATTGACAAGAATGCTTACGCCTATGGATATTTTTACGTACTCACGAAATGTACATCACATCTCAGTCGCAGAACCATTCACTGTCCCGGACGGAGCACAAAATAAATAACACATAGAAGCGGTTACGAAAAAATAAACTTACGACATTCATGGCTTAAAATTTCAACTCCAACACAGAATCATGGCTCTAAGGTTAGTCACGATCAATCGAGTTCAAGTGCAGGCTAATATTTACATCATGGCAACAGCTCACTACTCAGTAGACCGTTAGGCAACAATAGCATCGAGACGCAACCTTTGATTCAAGTCAAATGTTGCTGTAAGTCATCGAAGCATTCCATGCATTAGGTTTTGCAAGTTCTCCCTGTATAGCGGCAATAAGACTCGTAACTTGTTCACAGACTTTGATTCATGTCTTTCCTACATTTTAGTTACAATTAACATCACCAAGAAACCTCGCAAGAAGTTTACTGACTTGACTTGAGGAACAGCCGTCAAAATATTTATATACAATTATAAAATTTACACAACTTTCCCCCCATTTACGAGGCACGAAAGGAACAACCCTTGATCAAAACTTACGAGAAAGATTACTGTTACGTTAAAATATATAAAATAAAAGTATAGATATTACTTTGGAGAGTTCAAAAAGTAAAGAATAAAGCTTCAATAAAATGAAGTAAATATCACATGGACTCCTGTCGACAATGGACAGTTCTCACGAAATATTTTCACGAGATTATCAGCATTCGAAGATCATACATTTGAAATATAAATAAACTAGCATCATTTGAATGACGGTAAGACAATCTACCATCTTTAGCGGGCATTTCATCATTAGAAGAGAAATTCATTACATTGACCATTTTAAATTACGTTCACTGCCCCGAAGCGAGATTCCAGTGGCATCTTCTTTTCGAGATATAATAATTCAGATACAAAATATTTTACTGATGGATCATATTCATCAAATTAAGCTTTGAAACCATGCACAAAATTTCTATGTCCCGCCTCCTCACAAGCGAGTAACAGCCTAGGCGATGTACCACATAGAAGTATTGCACACAATTCTTATTAACTTTCTTCAGCCCGGCTACTCATAAACGAATAGCTACTTAAAATCTACATTTCAGCTCACGCATGTTGAATTATAAGACAATTAAGAAGACTATAACCTATTTGAATGGCGGTAAGAGAATATAAAAATTGCAGATGCTTATTAATCCTAATTCTGGGCCGCAAATTGATGTCTTCAATAGTTCCAAGTATTCAGACTTGATCCTTCACGCCTGTTGGCTTGATCCGACAGGTGAGAAAATATTAAATTTATATTACGAGAAAGACAAGCTATCCGAAAGCTAGAAGAACGCCTTTGTGTTGGACAAATTCTCTACAAGCGAATACTTTATAAAACAGCAGTTCATTGTTAATCATGAAATGTGCCGTCCTTTGGAGATATTTTCATATAGTTTATGGTGCAGTCATCGAAAATGATGGGAAGTGCGAGTCTGCTTGGAAGTAGCCTATAAAATACTTGGGCCAATGTGACGAACTCGTGAAGCACCATTTCGAATCCTCGGAATTTTTATTTAATAGCCAGACAAATACCTACGAATCTTGACTATTAAAATTCATTTCCTTTTTTAGTATGAACTCTGTTTTAGTAGGAATTTAAATTATTTATAAATAGATCAAAATTCTCTTCGTACAAAATGAATAGAAATAAATTAGTTAACATCAGATAACGTCCCACTAATACGGCATGTGTATTTTCTCCAACAAATTCAGCCTTGTGAATATCGATATTATTTCAGATTTACGAAGAAAAATCATGTAGATGCTAGAGCTTCTATGTTTGGGCAAATAAGCACAAAACAGAAGCGAGTGAGGCTTTCTCGGACGTCGCAAGAACAATTCGCACCCGAATGTTATAATGAAAAGCCATGAATTTACCACTAATGCACACCACGAGCAACATCATACATCACAACAATCATACATGTATCATGCAAGTTACATTAAGTTGAAGCAATTTCTGTATATAATGTTGCAGGCTTCAGTGGTAGCGATGTCAATACACGAGCCGCGAGAGATTTACAGACTAACTCTTATAAGACCAGATATGTAATTCAAAGTTTTAAATTACCATTAAGTGAGATAAGAAAATTATTCTTCTCAGTAATACTTAAAATTCTAATTGGCATGCGGTGAGATTACCCAAAGTGACAGAGTTCTTCCATGCAATGAAACTATTAAGATATCTTATCTGGCATCATCCTCTTGACGTTATACCAAAAGGCACGAATAACGACTGACCACCAATAACTATTAATGAGTTATCAATAAAATGTTGAGGCTTGCTGATTCGGTTAAACTTTTCCAATTTTAATAACTTATAACACGTAAGGCCCATTTTAGGGAAATTACTATAGGAATCTGAGAAGGTGGACAATCACAGTGGGCCCGTGCAATAAGCGGCAGCATCTTGCGGATCCATGACATTATTTCATCATTAAAGGACATAAATTACACGATGAAAATCTAAAACTCACAAGGACAAGCAAAATAAAAATATCACATCATAGCATCAAATTCCGCGGCACTGCAACTGAGATGATCACTCACGCAATAAAATAGTGCACATGTACGAGCGAGTTGACGGCAGATGCCAGCACAATTTGTACTATCTAGAGGATGATGTTTGACATGATTACAAATAACACAGATAATTAACCTTAAAGTGGTCTCGGCGTACAAAACGTACGCCTTTTACAGAAGAGGGAGCAAGCGAGCGAAGGATATTTCCTGCAAATGCTGATGATTATTAATTGAGATTACTAATGTGCAATTGGCAATTCATTTGGATGAGATGTCAGGAGCGTTAGATGAAGCAACACTAGTGTTGAATGAAGACTACCAAGATTACTACCAAAAATGATGAAGATGTTGATGTCTTCGTTGATAACCACAAACTATGATGATGAAGTTGTTGAGTGATGTATGTATGTTAGATGAGGCAATGATAGTCTTATTTTGAGACCACGAATAATGATAAAGATGTTAACGCTAGTCTTGGTTAGAACTATGATGTCGAAGATGTTAAGTGATAAGGGCGCTGGTCTGATCAGGCCCCGGTAGCGGCACCTCGTGCGCGTATCTGTGTCGAGGATCTAACGACGAAGGCACTTCACCGTCGCTGCTGCTGTCCGTGCTGTGGTCGCTGCCGCTGTGGCTGTGAACGTCGCCTCCTATGCGATACAAGGACATGTACAACCACACAAACTTTTATATGCTTACAGTCAAGAAACACTACTTTTATTCGTACTTTTGCCACTTACAATTATAATTTAAATACAATTTTCGTCACATAAACTACTTGTGCGACAAAGGTAACTTTTATATTTTTGAGTTTAGGTATTTTTATTGAATTTGTGTAAATAAATCTAATCTTTCCATCTTTGAATGAGTGAATTAATCAAGAACGGTATGCATGAGACAGTAAAAAAATGCAAGTGCATCAATCAAATCAGAGCTTTAGAGCTCAAGCTGGACTGTAAATTATTCAGCATCCTGTAGGAAAAAATCATCGTTATATTCATACCAGCAACACTTTTCGTAACAATACCCAACGGGTTTGAGAACTGCAACACAAAAACCACATTCTACCTCAGAAAAAAAGAACTTTCCCACGAAAAAGAACTCGGGCAATTTTTCCATGGTTCTGTGGAGGTAATCAAGACCGTAACAAAATCTAAATCACGACCACACAAAACAGAATCTCGACACCACAGGAACATAATCTCAATAATCAGGATGACAAACACAACATTCTTTTCGATGGAAATCACGGACAGATATAGGCACAAAAAAAACTTAACAGACATAAAATGTAAGGCACTTTGTAGGAAATGCATGCAACGGAAGATCACAAAAGAATAACAGTTCGCCGGCAACAAACTAAGATCACCATTGAATGACCTAAATGCCAACAATGGATAAAGCTAGCCAACAAAACGATGTTTCGGAACAGGTTTTGCGCTAAATTTTACAACATCAACCAACGGGCAGGGCAAATCACGTGTTGCGGCAACACCGTGTAGCGCGCTAGCAATCACAAAACTTCATTGTAACTGGCGAAATATTTACAAGTTGCACGATCGTATACAGGTTGAACGATTGTTTATAGGACGTAGGAACTAATACGGGTACCCGGTTGTTCGATCGCTTAAGGTTGGTAGTCAAAGTGCGGTGAAATCTGAGAGCGAGATATTCGCGACCATCGTGTGAAATCCTGGATCGGCCCCAAGCTCGGCCCGTCGCTACCCTTGAGCTTGTAGTCTGTGTAATATATCATAGCCAGCCCCTTTCTTGCGGTAACGGGCGGCTTCCAGTTGGCCGAGGAATGGCCAGAACTAATTGGACTAGGCCGACCACTGGCCACGTAATATTCTCGCCCCCCTCGTTGAGTTCGCCTTCACCGTGCCGCCCATCGTGAACTGACAGCTCAGTAATTTACGACGTCTGTTTCTCATCATCATCATCATCATTTCCACATATCCTTCATCGAAACAATTAATTTACGGTATATACCAGTCTTAGATAAACTAGTTTTTGGTTGGTAATAGCTAAAACAAGGAGGCTGATCAAGAAATGCCGAGGCTACCATTCGGTGGAGAATGAAAATTATAACCTGTTGACTTCGCGGCATAACATCACTTCAACGTTCCCGATCGCAGCTGGCAATCTGACTAGGGCAATAGAGCTTGTAAGGACGTAACTCTTCCAACAGATAACTAATGATCACGTAGCGACCATATCATTATTAATTATAATGACCCTAAATTAGCGCTCCTATCATTATAAATGTTATAGTTTACGAAGAATTTTTCGTTGAAATATCCCTACCAATCTAAAATTTCCGACGGACAGATCAACTCATGACATATAAGAAAAAAGATGGCGGCACACGAAGACGAAAAAATTTTACATATACTAAAAAATACTGTACTTCCCACAGACAGCAAGACGAAATCTCTCACCTTATGAAGTGGCGCAGGATAGCAAGGCTAAGAACTGGTAATTCATGTTGCTCCATTACCAAGTCTAAAACGTTAATAAATATGATATCAAACATTTAATTAAACGGGGCTTGTGCCTACACTATTTGCCTGGCGTAAATGAACACTCAAACATTCCGGTACGTTCTTCTATCTCACAGCTTCTCCGCCCGAGTCGATGATTAAAGGCAGCACCAGTTCGCTGGAGTGAACAACGATAAGCCATTCCTTACTAAGCTAAATCCCATTAAATTTTCATAGGATAAATTTTGTAAGTTTGTTCAAAGATAAGTTTTGTATCGTTCGCAAGTCCGATTCCCTCGTCGGCAATGGACGGATTGGTTAACGTCCCAATTGTTAATTAGTTGACATCACAACGAGCCGAACATCTTGAAAATTTTCATCATAAACGAAAAAAAAACACTTGCAAAAGAGAAGAGGCACACGCAAGTTAAACTGTTCCGTGTAAAAAACGCAGGCAAATCAGAAAGAAACGAAACCGCAGCGAGATCTTCTCACGTGACATCTACACAAACTTCTCTTGGATGAAAGCAAAAACATCACTTTTTGTATTGGTCAAAAATATTAAACTTAATTTTTGAATGCATGTCGAACTGACTGAATTGAAAACCAAATTCCGTGTAGTTATAAATGACCGAGATATTGATACGACAGAATTGAAGTAAATGATAATTAATGGCCTGATGAGTTGACGTGAGAAGTTCTCGGACAAAATTGTCGGAAGCACAAACCTTGCGTCACGAGAAGCAGGCCTTGCGCGCCTGGGGCGCGGCGCTCTACATCGCAGGTCTGAGGCTTAGCGTCCGCTGTGCAAATTACAGCCTCCTTCCATCATTCAGTAATATAAGATGAACAAAATATAACAGGAAAACCAAAACACTTGTACGCGCCAATACGCCATGTTACTGCTACGCGGCAATTTTCTAAGAGAAATAACGCACTTTAAACCAGGGAAAGGAGCACAAAACTTTCTTCAAAGGTGAAGCGAAGCAAATATCGATAGGTTGCATGCAAAATTATCACTTTGTTAGTTTTAGTTAACAGCAGATTATTTCAAGTGTGAAATCTATTATTAATTATAGAATCAATACTAAATACCGTTCGAATAACGCTAGAATATAGTCGTACAAGCAAAGAGGAGTTATTAAGTAAGGAGTTTCCAACAGCAAGGCATACTCGATAAAAAATAGCAGAGCTGCAAAAACAAGGCACACTGTGGAGTTCAGCCTTCATCTGTTCTCTATCTAATTAATAATCACGACAAGCGTATTTCAGTCACTGCGGTGGTGAACGATAACGGGCGAGTTTCAAGCGTTTGATGAATAGCTTATGAGATTCGGCCTCCCGCTGATCATTGCGCATCACAACTTAATTTATGCATGCATTTATGCATTTATCTGTGTTCTAGATTTATCGAACTGACGATGGAGCTGGTGTCCGAAACGTTTTCAAAAGAGATATGCTAAATTTTTGTGGTGTTTTCTTCACTTTTAAATTTCTAGTGAATCTGCGATTAAAGCAATCTAGTGACTTTTTTAAATTAATTTCGCTTTCACACATACAAAATAATGCCAGGGTGCTAGATATAATAAAGAGCTCACCAGGTGCTAGAAAACTAACCAAAAATTAGCAAATCGTCAATTGGAAATCGATCGACCCCTTCCGAACGCATAACCAGGAGCTGCTGAGAGAAATATCCCAGCAACAACAAATTTCGACACAAGTCTTGTGATTAGATGCTGCAGCTTGTGAAGGACGGACTCCAAAACGAAGCCGTTATTACGGTTATTGAATTGACAAAAAAAAATTAAATCTTGCCACGGATAAATAAAGGTCGATTCACGAGCCCAACCAAACGCTGGTTTTGACACCACCCCTCACGATAGCAGCAACCTGAGAAGAGAATTTTCTCGAATCCTGATAATAAAACGGGAAAGTAACTGACGAGTCAAATAAGTTAATGACGACATATGGGCATAAAACTGACCTGCAATAGTGCGGTCAGTTCTCTCTTTATCCTTCTCAATGAAGCAGCAGGTGATGAAGAAGAACACGGCGCCCAAGATAAGCACGCACGTGCACAAGTAGAAAGACATCTGCAGCGCCTGTAAAATAATCATAAACCTGAATATTTCTTATGAACTCAAGCCTTGCAGAAAGCTTACACCTGCCTAAAAATAACCTATTCAGTCTTTATTGAACACTCAAAATGCTGTTATATAAACTACTGCGCACCTGAATTGTCAGGCAAGAATTTTTTTCAGTAGGTCTTTATTTTATACCAACACGATATACTGTACATACAGACACATTTTCTAAAGGATTGCCAGAATGATATTCAGCCAAGGTCTCACGAAATAACTTCAATTTGCAAGCATCAATTTCATAAACGGTGTAACAGCTCAACCAAATTTATCACTAACTTGTTTTATAGTAAATAAAGAAAGTTAACATTTCTCTAACCTGCTCTCAAATTACAAGAAAAACTCAACACTAGGCTCTCTAATCCGAATATAATATCGAATTTTTACTTTAACAATTCCGTTATACATCCAGCATATCCCTTAACCACGAACTACAACCTCCATGAACTGTATATGAATATCTCGCATAATAACCTTAAAAGAAGCGTATTTGTCGTCCGAGTCACTGGGCAATTCAGTGGTCGCGGTCAAGTTTGAGCTCAAGAAGAAGAGTTGGTCCAGCATGACTGGGGATGTTGTGGTGGATACGTTGCTTTGGTTCATGTAGTAAGGCTTCAGCAAGTCAGCCACCTGAATAGAAAAAAATTAAGTTAGAAATCAAACAAATTTTCTCTTTTAGTAACCAAACAATTTTTAAATACACAAGGTTCATGAAGTAAGGCTTCAGCAAGTTAGCCACCTGAATAGAAAAAAATCAAGTTAGAAATCAAACAAACTTTCTCTTTTAGTAACCAAACCATTTTTAAATAAGACAAAGCTGGTTCAGGAAGGAGGTGGAATTGTCAAATCCATTCAGAAAATTCCAAACAATTACATACGAGTATAGTTTGGCAGAAGCCCTTCCTCTATGCAAGTTTAACTGAAGACTAGAGAATATTTTTTATCAATAATTCTCTAATTTGTCTTCTCGATAAGTCGAACCAACTTTCTGAGACGACTAATGACACAATTATTGATGAAAAACATTCTTTGATCTTAAATCAAACTAACGTAACAGAATTACATACTCCGCAAATGAACATAGGATATGATGAACGCCAACAAACAAATAATATCCCGTACGTCTTACGTCGACAGAATGTTGATCACAAGCTGAAATTAACACAAGACTCACCAACCCAACGACGTAGGGGCTGCCGGCGTCGCCCAGGGCGTGCGAGAAGAGGATTTGGAAAGCTTCAGCCGACGACCGCCGAGTTGGGATCACGATGTACTGGTGGAGGAAGCGAATTAATGCCTGGCAGAAATTTTAAAACACGAATAAATGAGCACTACAGGAAGTCATCAGAGAAACTGTGACCTCTGACACAGGGCACGTCAAGTCAATAAGACTGATTTCATTCTTGTTTTGAAATCTTCGTTCATCTTAGTGCACTACAAGTATTGCCAGGAGTAAATACTTGCAAAACGGTGTATACCAAAAACACACGCTGTCATTATTTTAAGACAAACTGATCTATAAAAATCGATTTTGACGGTATATAAGAAATAAAGTCACTCGTTTGCTTGAATCGCAAATTCACTAAAAACTTAAACGCAAAGAAAACTTCACAAAAATTCATAGTATCTTTAAACGAAACGGAAACGTTTTCTTTAAAGATACTATGAATTTTTTGGGAGTTTTCTTTGCTTTTAAGTTTTTATAAAAATCAATAAATAACAGATCATCACACACTAGTCAATTGTCAAAGATGACGACAAACTCACGAGCACAATATCCGAGATAACGGAGCTTTCAAGTTTTTATAAAAATCGATAAATAACAGATCATCACACACGAGTCAACTGTCAAAGATGACGGCAAGCTCACGAGCACAATATCCGAGATGACGGCCCAGTTGAGGTTGAGGAAGACCTGCCCGAAGAAGACGATGGCGTACGCGGCTTTGGTGTCAAACTCCGCCATGTACATCCCGGCGCCCAGCAGCGGCAGCGCCACCAGCACACCAATCCCGCACACCAGCGGGTCGCCGTAGCCGTAACTGCAACATCAGGGTTACATCAGTGTTGCAACATCAGGGTTACATCAGTGTTGCAACATAAGGGTTACCACATCAGTGTTGCAACATCGGTGCAACATCAGGGCAATTCAGCGCTACAGTCACGTCAAAAATACACGCGCGTACGGTGGTAAATTGGCCGGACGTAGGAAGCTTTCAACCAATAGAAAAATGATTCTACCAAAAAATGCCTTCTTATCACAAATGTTGACGCCGAAACAGTAATAATCTCGACTATTATTTCGGGGACCTAATACTTTGGGGGGAAAACAATACATCAAAATTTTCTTAATAATAAATACACTTACAATGAACAATAGTCTGTAAATGTGATCAATCTTAGTATTGATACAACCAAGTAATAACGAGGCATTCTCAAATTATCGAGGTATCTTGCTAACTAATTTTTCATTGTGGTCTCCTGCATTTCAGTAAACTGCATATCAAAACTGCAAAATAAATAGTGAACTGCAGATCAAAACTGCAAAATATATAGTGAACTGTAGATCAAAACTGCCAAATAAACAGTGAACTGCAGTCCAAATACTAACATCTTCCTAAGGTACTGGCCCCCAAAGGACCCCAGCGGGACGCCAGAATTGCAGATCAAAACTACAAAATATATAGTGAACTGCATATCAAAACTGCAAAATAGTGAACTGCAGATCACAAGTACAAAATAAATAGTGAACTGCAGATCACAAGTACAAAATAAATAGTGAACTGCAGATCAAAACGATAAAATAAGTAGTCAACTCAAAATAAATACTGAACTGCAGATCAAAACTGCCAAATAAATAGTGAACTGCAGTCAAAATACTAACATCTTCCTGAGGTACTGGCCCCCAAAGGACCCCAGCGGGACGCCAACAAGCCCGGCAACCATGGCGATGGCCCCGAAGACAAAGGCGACGCTGTTGACGTTCACGTCAGGGTGTTCCTGTATGTCAACACCGGCCTCTACGAACAGCGGCCCCCACCACGCCAGCGCTCCAGCCCTGTCTCTTATACACATCTAGATGTGTATAAGAGACAGGGTTCATGAGGTAAGGNACACGTACGATTTACTGCACAATGTACGCATTATTATTAATTTTGCGATAGTTGACAACACGTACGATTTACTGCACAATGTACGCATTATTATTAATTTTGCGATAATTGACGACACGTACGATTTGCTGCACAATGTACGCATTATTATTAATTTATAATACGAATTATTATATTAGAAATCTACAATATGAAGTAATTTACAATACAAATTATTACATAAGGAATTTATTCTATGAAGTATTATATCACTAATTTATAATGTGAAGTGTTATTGCCGCATCGAGATGAGACCAAAGCTAATGAACATAAGTCATTATTCGACCATAATAATTAGGACATTATAAGCTAAATAGCCATTGTTCGGATATGAGAAATATTAGTTATGTAAGAAATAAATAGAACAGGAGAATAAATCAGTAAGTTATTTGTGCAACTCGACGAGTGAGCAAAAAATAATCTGATGGCTAAAATTGAATATTAATTCCAAGTAAGTAGGAATGAATGATAAAAATAATTGTAGAGCCAAAAATAATTATATCGCGAAAATAGAATATTAATAAAGTAGGAATGAAGCACCAGACTTGATCACTGACTTGGTGGCGAGATCCTTGAGGTCCTTGAGGAAGTTGGTAGGCTTGAGATGCTCGCCGCCCTCGACCTGGCCACGGGGAGGCTCCTGCAGCACCAGCAGGATGAGGAGGACGGCCACCAGCCCCATCACGGGGGTTACACGCAGACCCCAACGCCAGGCTTCTTCCCCAGCGTTCAGAGCCTTCGCGATATTGGTTACTTCAGCGCCCACCATGTAGCCCAGACCGCTGAAATTGTATGAACAAGTCAGCACTTCAGCCCCCACCATATAGCCCAGACCGCTGAAATGGTATGAACAAGTCAGCACTTCAGCCCCCACCATGTAGCCTAGACCGCTGAAATGGTATGAACAAGTCAGCACTTCAGCCCCCACCATGTAGCCCAGACCGCTGAAATGGTATGAACAAGTCAGCACTTCAGCCCCACCATGTAGCCTAGACCGCTGAAATGGCAACAGTACTTCAGCCCGCATAGTATTTCATTTAGTGACTATTAGCAAGAAATATTAGGATAAAAAAATAATTGTGTTGGAGGACTGAAATCTGCAAGAGCAACAAGCAGTGACATAGATGAAGATATTGCACTTGAGCATTGGATTTCATCAGAGTGTGCATTCCATTAGGCATTGCGTATATACCGGAGCATAGTGTATGCCCATAGGCATTGCGTATGCCACTACGCATTGCGTATGCCACTACGCATTGCGTATAGGTATACCGGCGCAGTGTATGCCACAAGGCATTGCCTATGCCATTACGAATTGCGTATATAACGGCGCATAGTGCATGCGACTAGGCATTGCGTATGCCATTACGAATTGCGTATATACCGGCGCATTGTGCATGCCACTACGCATATTGTATGCAAACCTGCCGACAGGGATGGCGAAGTAGAAGATGGCGAGTATTTTTGAGCGCTGGTCGCCGATGAACATGTCGGATAATATGGTGGGGGCGATGGTCGAGTAGCTCGCCTCTCCCACGCCCACCAGGCACCGGAACACCGTGAAGCTCGCGTAGTTCTGCAACGTAAATTTGAGTTAGTCAAGTATTGATTTCTGTATATCCGCTTGCATTAATTCACAAACACGATCTATCAAGAATTTACTCTGAATATAGACGTTACCTAACGCCAAATTAACCGTGAAAAAGGACGATTTATTTAACATTCTAAAAAAAACAAGACCGAACATGCACTGGTGTGGAGCGATAAATACAAAACTGTATGAATATATAGAAATATATTACCGAATCCAATGAAGTATTAAATTTCCGCTTTAGTAACAACAGACTGCAACGGGAATAATTGAAGTAACTCGAAGCGTTAAAACAGAATGAGACTCACCGGCATGAATGATCCTGCTAAGGTTGCTAAAGACCAGAAGAAGATGCCAAACGATAAGAGATATCTTCGGTTGAAGCGGTCACCCAAGTAGCCATATATAGGCGCCACCACCATGTAAACAACCACGAAGACGGTCTGTAGTAAACCTGCTTGCGCGTTGCTGATTTGAAACGTGTCTTGAATATCCGTTAACATTCCTGTAAAAAAAATAGCAAACGTTAATATCCCGCTCCACACAAACACGCACAGAAAACTTACACATTTCGATACATGTTTTGAGATCGGCAAGCATTCCAGGAATTTAAAAGTAAAGAAAATAGCCAAAAATTTCACCATTTCTTATAAGAGAAAACGTTTCGGAGTCCAGCTCCATCGTCAGTTCAAAACCTAGAACACAAGTACAAACAATTAGTAGCCTAAAATTCACATTCAAACAATTCACCTAAACTTGAGGACATTAGAACTAAAATCGAAGATAACAGAAATAAAAATGAGATAACATGTAGAGAAAGTACTATCTATTTACAATTTGTAGAGGATAGGAACTGAATGCAGCATTTAAACTGGGTTTCTGTTTGAAAATATATAATGATTCTAAAATTCGTAGGTCAGAAACACCGGTTGTGGAGGCTAAAACTCTAAAATCACTATTGGACACCGGGACGTTGCACTGCTCGGCATGAATACGTACGGCTGAATGAGGGGGATGCGCAAGTATGTTCCCTGTTCTATAACTCCTGCCCCTATGCCTGTCTCTTATACACATCTAGATGTGTATAAGAGACAGGTTTAAATGCTGCATTCAGTTCCTATCCTCTACAAATTGTAAATAGATAGTACTTTCTCTACATGTCATCTCATTTTTATTTCTGTTATCTTCGATTTTAGTTCTAATGCCCTCAAGTTTAGGTGAATTGTTTGAATGTGAATTTTAGGTTACTAATTGTTTGTACTTGTGTTCTAGGTTTTGAACTGACGATGGAGCTGGACTCCGAAACGTTTTCTCTTATAAGAAATGGTGAAATTTTTGGCTATTTTCTTTACTTTTAAATTCCTGGTAAATTTGCGATTTAAGCAGCCAAGTGATCTTAATACTTATATCCGGCAAGCATTCTTATTACACGGAATGCATGAATAGTTATATCGGACAACATATATAAATCGTACATTAAACTATTAGGAATAATAAAGAGTCCTGAGTAGTTTTAGAAGAATTTGCCGGCACGATATAATATTGTAATAGGTCAGCGGGATTTATTAGAAGGTAGAATCTTTAACCTCGGGAATATTTCATGTCGAGCGAGAGATCAGGTACAAGTTGATTTATAATGAAGGAAAATATAACCTTCAGAATGTAACCCAGGACTATTGTTGTAGTAGAGAGTCAACAGTTATTGATAGACGGCCTTGCTTTAGGCCATTCGTTGGAGTAGCCTAGGGTGCCTTTCTTAAATTAAAGGGACTAAAGCACCGTATAAAAATTTTCAGTGTTGATCCGTTGGCAGAATTGAACGGTCTAAAATAATAAACAGCACAGTATTATAGCATAAAATAGGCCTTACAGGCCTACAGCATTATAGTAAAAAATTGCAGCTGTGTAGAAGGTACAACAGTATAACGGCTAAATTTTCAGTAGAAAACAGACTTAAGTTTACAACTGAAGCAGCAGGCACGCATCAATTACACGCTTAATGATCCTGAACTTCGAAAGCTGACGTTGAGCTACAAAGATACAACACGTCCGTCGTCATGTGACTGACGCTATCGGAAGTCACGCGACTGACGCTATCGAAAGTCACGCGACTGACGCTATCGGTAGTCATGTGACTGACGCTATCGGTAGTCATGTGACTGACGCTATCGGTAGTCATGTGACTGACGCTATCGGTAGTCATGTGACTGACGCTATCGGTAGNAAGAGACAGCCGGTGGATCGTGCCGTAGGTACTTAACGTGTTAATATAACTAGAAATATTTACTGCAGAATAGAATAGTAGTATAAGGCTCTAATCACTAGCTATTGCCTATACATCATCGCCTAGAATGTGACGCGTTCTACTCACTACAATTTTAGGTAGTAGGTAATGTCTAATGACATCATCACCTAGAATGTGACGCCACTATTGTTTAAGCAGCCGCATAGAAAGGAATGCGTGGAAGGAAGTACTTCACTACCTCCGGTTACAGTTACACAAACCTGTATATAGCTACATCGCTCGCAATATAGACACGTGTTCGCTGTACGATGTACCTAGCAAGTGCGTTCAGTATTGACTGGCTGTCATTTATTGATGTACGCCCACGCGCGATGTATAATCAATAGTCATCAGGCAGAAACATTCAGTAGCAATTCACGGATCTTAAGTAAGCATATAACTATCTACTTCAGCACAGTGCTAAGACAACTTAGGTTATTGATATTGTAGGGAAAATATATGTTTTTACATTAGACAGTGGAGGAGAGTCTGAAAATATCAATGAGTAGAATGTTGAAAATATTTGCGAAACGAATAACCTGCTTATAGTGGCATGTGATACTAGGTAGCAAAGTATAAACGTAACCGAGTTCCTAATTCTACACCTTCATTTTATGCTAAGGCAAGAAGCGCTACAAAACAATCTCAGATAATTAAAGCGGTTTCCTTTGGATGCCACGCATCAAAATCTTATCAAGCAGGAAGTTGACCTTCAATTTACTTCATTCAATAGCCATCAAGTGAAGTTCTCACAAGTGGCAATGTTTTGTTTGAGTTTGCAACTAAGCGTAACCATGGTAATTAACTCGAAGTCATTATCGTCAGAATTATACCGTTTATGCGGGTTTATACACGTTATCTATACTAAACCTGCTGTAGTGTTCGTCTACACTCTACAGTAATAGTTGCAAGATGTTTCCTTGTGTGCAAGATATGAAGAAGTGTGTACGATAAAGAAGCTATATCTTAGAAATGCGCGCGGTATAGAAGCTGTATCTTAGAAGTGTGTACGATATAGAATCTGCACGATTGAATTAATAATGCAATATTGATTTATTCAAACAATCTGTTGTACCTATTTGACATACCGTATACAGAATACGATCTACGTAACTATAGACGTCAGTGTTGTCTTAACATCAAGAACTTCAAACATCAGTGGCGCGGCGACTACTGATTATTCTTAGTATTTTAGATTTAAAATACACAATTTTCTCCTATCTTTATTGAGAAATGATAACCTTTAGGGATAATATAACAACGAAGGTTATCACCCTGGAGCCCTTTAAGAGAGCACCAACAGACGAAAGTGTGGGCCAAACCTTATTAGCTTTTAACTGGGTTAGACTTTACTTGATTATAAAATATATTGATGTTCTACGTTCATTATCAGAATTGATATTGATCATTATTATATCATATTGATCAAAATTATATTATATTGGTTATTTGAAAGAAAATTCCCTGCAATTCAGAGAGTATTACTTCACATGCTCGTGTTTTTTTCGCACGTTTTCATCAGTATTCATGAAAATAACACGCACAAAATATAAGGCTGTTAACAGAATAACTGCCTTTGTTGCATTTTGTTCAGCACGTTGACAGCATTAAGATTTAAATAAATTGTTTAACGATCTGGCTTGGATTTCCAATTAAATAACCAAAATAATTTATGATCGAATCTCTAAAAAAATAATTTTATACATTTAAAAACTAATTGTGGAGCAGAAACTTTCACAGAATTATATATATTAGATAACGAAGGATAATAATATTCAATCTAATATAACTGATTGAACTATTAATTCTGTATTCAGGTCTGCTAAGCTTGTCATGCACCTTACGTTCATATAAGTTTATGATCGCGTTCGATGCTTTGGCATTGAATAATTATTATAGATTAAATTAGACTCTAATGCAATGACAATATATATAAATACACAAGACTCTTAGAAAAATGGATGGGACATATAGTCAAAAAAAAGCGTCATTCGTTTCCCACGTACTGATACGTCATTTTCCTGCCAAAACTGCTTCAAAATGACCCATACAAGCGCAAAAAATACATGATCATTTGGAGAAAGTCTCGCTCATTTCTCTGAGTGTAAATTAAAAAAAATATATATTTCGATTTGATAAATAAAATGAAAGTCTCAAGAACCGGGGGATTTTGCGTGCACATGTCCCCTAGCCGGCGAACGGTCATGGGAGGGGAAGATAGGGCGGGATGGGGAGGGAATGAAGCGAGATCTGATTGGTCGAGCAGCAGTGGCGCGATGTGACGTCAGGCCAACAGCACACGAACAAACACACGCCTGCACGCCCTTCCAAGAGTTGCTGTAATCTACCGGTAAACATAGACGAGATAATGCTAGAAAGTTATTGTATTTTAGAGTACCAATCGGCCGCCTCTTTTTTCACTTTGAAGTAAACCGGTCACTTACAGATTTTAAATCTAAATTTATATTCACTATATAACACAGTATATGCCGCCTATTAGCCAACATACATGATTCACACTTCTATGAGCATATTTAGTCAAATACAGAAGTAAACCATGCATGGAAATCGCATCAAAATTAAATCTAAACAGCGCTTTAGAGCAGCACGGACATCGAATAAATACAAAAAATGTAAATATATGTAAGTAAAATGTATGCGAGTACAAAAACTGCGTTACATTTAAAGGTGATGACACATACGCCCGCGCCAAGCTTTCGCCGGCATTTTAGTGCGGAGAGCATCTGTTGGGAAACCTACACGTGAGACTCACAGTCAGAGAATAAGGTGAAACTTTTTCTAAATAATTACCCTTTTTCCGTTATTGTCTGGGTTATACTCAGCCAATTTGGCCCAGAAAAAGGGCGTATCGGTGGTACATGCAAGAAAGTGTGTAAGTATTTGGGCAGTATGACTCATTCATTCTTTTATGCTACATCATATAAGTTACGTTCAATCTAGCGGAACCTTTTATCGTAGCGGAACCTTTGAACTTTTTAGAGCACAAAACTGGTAGCGACCAACGCATACGTCTACCGAATTCTAAATAAAATATTAATAACATATAGCAGTAACGAAAGGCATAAATATTTATGAATGCATGGAATTCAGCTTGTTCGCGTAATTCAGTTTCGGTATCGCCCCATACCTTAGGCAGGTGGGTGCAGGTTGGTACATCGCAAATATTCCCAGTAAAGAGTATAGAATATTTGAAAAAGAAC